GCTAAGCACTGCGGGGCTGATGGATTTCTTTTCCCTTGGAGCACTGGCACTTTTGCCAGATGATTTCCATAATGGGAGAACCTAGGCTTTAATGTGAGAATTTAAACAGTTCCTGTGATGTAGGTGCTATGACAGAATACTTTCTGGAAGACTGTCAGGCTTGATCCCAGAAGTTGCCTTCGACAGTGAAAATGCTAGTTTATATCCAGATTGGCTGATGGCCTTTAGATCTGGCAGACAGATTTTCTCAGTGTGAGGTTGGTTAACCTGCTTATGCTGTCAAGTCTAGACATCACACTGTACCTAATCCAAGTCGTACATGTGATCTTGGATCTTAGGCATGAGCAGTTAGGAGTGATGAGTGAAAAGATATGGCAGGTAGAAAGATAAAGTGTTTTTATCGTGGCCTAATTCTGACATACGTAGGCTTGTTAGTTCATTTCAGCGTGTAGATGTACTTGGAGACGTTAGTGCTTGGTGTCTCCTGACTTCTAAATCTGCTGAAACAACCTCTTGTCCTCTTCACCCTCAGTCCGCAATTCTGATAAGAGAATATCCTGTGATGAAGAATTCTCTGACTCTGAAGATGAAGGGGAAGGAGGGCGCAAAAATGTTGCAAACTTTAAGAAAGCTAAGCGTGTGAAAACAGAGGAGGAAAAAGAGGAAGAGGAGAAGAAAGGTAAGCATGAGAGCTAGGACTAGAAGCCCTCCCGGCTCTGTGGAACTTTGCCTGGCATGTACTTTCCTACTGCACTACTGTTTGTATTTTTTTATCTTTGTTTGTTTGTTTGTTTGTTTGTTTCTTCCCCTAGATGAGAAAGAAGAGGAAAAAGCAAAAGAGGAGAAAGCAGAACCGAAAGGGTGAGCCCTGTCCCCTGCCCTGGCATGGCGATTAGATGGCTGTGCCTGCATTTCCTTGTGCATCTACCTACACCCCCAGAGGGATGTTGCACAACTTGAGGGGTTGGAGGAGAGCCGTGGTAGTTTGAATGGTTTTGTCACGGGCTCTTTATGGGTAGAAGTTTGCACGTGTAGAACAGCACACCTGATAAAGCACTGGGAGAGCCTTCAGTGAAAAGGGCTTAAAAATACTGTGCCTTCATTCCGTAACATGTTACAAGTTTCAGAGGAAGATGGGCCACATAAGCAGCATTTTTAAGGTTGCAACTTTGACTTGTTATTGAAGCTTGCACACAGCCCGAGTTGCCTGTTTAAACCAAATCCTTCACTGCTTGCTTCCACAGGGTGAAGGAAGAGACAAAGTCCACCTAAGATGGCTGCAGCTGGACAGTACCTGTCAGTGCGTAGTTGTCGTAGGTTAGCTTCTCTGGTTGCCTCCCATTCCACAGGATTTATATTTTATATATGTTTCTGTATATATTTCTATATAAATATATAAATGACTTGAGAACTGTAAATTATTCCTTGCTGCACTCCGCTGGGAGCAGATAGGGAGGATTCTGCGGAGTAGACAGACCTGCACTGCCCAGATTTGGTGACTGGGAAGTTTCACTCTTGCCTTCCACTGCTTCCTTAGTGTGTCTTTAAAAAAATCACTTCCTTTCTTTACTCTCTCCTCTGAAATAACCACCCTTGGAAAAGAATAATTTAAGTAGAAGTAGTATCTGCGTTTCAGGTTAGGTGGAAAGATGGCCATGAATATTTCTTTTTTTTTCTTTTTTTTTTTTCTTTTCCTTTTAATTTTTGGTGGGAGAATATGAGTTCCCAAATGAAGCCTGTGAGAGACTGACTATTCCTTTGGTCTTCGGTTTGATTCCACCATGGCAAGTAACTGCAAGCTGGTGCCGCTTCTCAGGGTCAAATAGTGCAGTTCTTGAATAGAGTTGGCTACCTCCCTGCAGCAAACTTGTGGAAAGAGATGAAGCAGCTTAGAAGCAATCTGAAAAGCGCTTTAGTGAATCAGCCCAAGAGCCCTGCAGGTGCAGATCTGGAAAATTCAAAATGAAAATCACCCTAATGCGGTGGTTAACATTTTCCAAGATCTTGCAGATCCAGTTAGCGTGGCAGCATTATGCATCTCAAATAAGAGAAAGGATGAAGTTTTTATACCTTTTTTTCTATACCTACGCCCCTCTTTGAGGGGGGAAGTGAGTTACTGCCCATTTGGCCGCCTGCTTTGCTGTTCCTGCTTGTTCTGCCCTCAGCTACACGTGCTGTAATGTTCCTTTTCAGTAGCGATCTGTGTCCTAGGCTGAAACCACTGCAAATTCCCAAACTCATCTAAAGGCCAGAGTGAACAGAGCCTGGCTGAAACCTCTTGTCCGTGTGTGTTGCTCACTGAAAAACTCCTCTGAAGTGAAGTTACAAAGGTTTTCAAACTGAACCTTTCCTCTCTCTTGCTTTCAAGGCCAGTAAATATGGAGAACCATTTTATCAGCCGCCTGAGCTGTTATCTTTATAAGGGAACAGCAGATGGGGCTCTCTACATTTTTATAACTATTTCTTTTCCTACTCCCACGCATTATCTCACACCCAAAGGTCTTTTGTGACCAGAACTGGCCTTTCTTTTGCATCTGCTTTTGTACAGCTGATCATTAGATGAGCTTTTGGTGAAATGCTTTGCAGAAGTTTTGCAGGCGGTTTTGACTCGCTGCTCTCCTTTCTCAGGGGGATTCCTCTGTCCATAAGAGGATCTGTACCTCCCACGGAGCGCTGCTGATGGTTTCAACTCTAATAATGCTGCTAACTTAACACAGGTTATTTTTTAAATGTTTTATTTTTTTAAGTACTTATTTTCCCTTTTCCACCGTGAGTTTTTTAGTCTCTTTGAATCTGAGTGATGTGTCACTCCTGCTCTTCAGTGTTTGTATGTGAAGCGAGAGAGATCAGTGTATCTTTGTGTCTGGGGGGGGAAATATATTGTGGTTTTTTAAAGATGCTTTTATTTTGAATTTTGAGAATCTTTGTAATAAAACTGGTACATTTCTATGGTTGGTGTGAGTTTGTACTGCTTTCTGCTGGGAAGAAACATGCGGTTGGAATGGGAGTTCAGTTTGTTTTCAGAGCCCTTGCTGGAAAATGGTGCAGTAGGTTGGTCATGATCATGATGTAATGTAGGGCCCAGCAACAAAACGTGACAGCTGTAATAAGGCTTTGGAAAGAAAGGTGAGATGAGGCACGATTACTTTCCCTCATCTTTCAGGAAGAGGGCTAGAGGTGGTGGTTTAAATGCCATCCACCAGATCACTTCATGTGGAACATTGCTTTAGTTTCCTTTAGTTTCATGTATAGACGTTTATTATTTTTTTTTCTCCTCCTTTTTCCCTGTGTTATAAAATAGCCTTGAAATTCTCCTCCTGACCCTTCTCTTCAGAAAAGATAAGTCAAAATACCACGGGTTTTGTTTGCTCACAACTTTTCCCTGAAGGGTCAGTCACTGGGGAGGTTTTTGTGTCTCTTTCCTAAATTACAGCTGGGTTCTCATCCAGCAGCATTGCTGATGCTAATGGGGTTTGTGGTTTGTTTGGAGTTACAGTACTTCATGCAGCTGATACTCTGAAAGCAATGCTAATCTAGAAAAGGAATAATAAATTATGGGAAGGGAGTATCTTTTGGATTAACTTAAGTGGTTTTTATCTGGTATTCAAATGAAAAAAAAATTTCTTTAATTAGGAGCAGGTTAATTCTGCAACTGAGTGGTGATCACACCTGAAATGGACACAAAAGGTTCATAAGCTAAATCTGCTGTTTATGTAGTTAAAAAAAAAAAAAAAAAAAAAGGCATTGCATGGCACAGTTGACTTTCATTGCTGCAGTAATACTCTAGGAAACTCGGTTAGCCTTTTCACCGTAGCAGACAATTGGAATCCTCTCCTTCTGGAACAAAAACAACTGTACAGTTCAAGTTACCCCTGCCAGATCACGCGTGCCGACGTGCAACTGCAGTGCTCCTCTCCTCCAGTGTTTCTTAAAATGGCTGCCGCGCCGAGCCCCGGAGCCCGCCTGGGCACAATGCAGCTGTGTCTCACATGACAGACCACAAGCAATCTTAGAAATAATTTGCAGAACACCATGCCTACAATTCAAATTTTTTTTTTTTTTTTTTTTTTGCCCCCCTCAAATGAATAGGGATCAATACTCTGCTGTAGCTGGAAGCCGGGCACTTGCTTCAGCTTCCCGCTATTGCTGCGTAAAACTGAGAGTTTGGGCCCTTCCCACCTACCTCAGGGGCTACAGAAGAGCAATGCTGGTCCTTGCCCCAGGCCCTGCCTTGCCAGGGTGGTGCCAAACAATGGTCCTCCCTTTTCTCCATCTTCTTTGCCAGCCAAAACGGCAGGGGCAGGTGATTAGAGGGGAATTAGGAGCAGGCCAGTAAATGGTGGGGCTGTGCCTCTTAGGGAGGCTGTAGCCTTCAAGCTCAGAGCTGCTGGAGAGGAGCAGCGCTCCTTCCTTCTGCTGCACGCCCATCCCAGGAGAAAAAAAAAAAAAAAATAATCACCTCCATCCCTGTGCGGATGACAGGAGAAACAGTGGAGGCACCCATTGTGCCTTCATTTTCTCTTTGGAAGTAAGTCTTTGCTCCCAGTGCACAGTTCTTGTGCTCTAGCATGACTTCTCAGGAAAGAGGAGCTATTACTGTTCTAAAGCCACTAAAAAAAAAAAAAAAAAAGCATTTAAAATTAAAGAAACCAAGCTTGAAATAAGAGTTTTATCCAGTAGCACTCCTGGGCCTCTCCTTATGAGGATAAAAGGGCTTTCTGAAAGGGCTTTCTTTCCCCACCCCCCACCCCCCCCAGGGAAAAAAAATGGGTTAGATCTCCAAGAAAACAGGTACTGAGCAGCCAGCTGAACAGTGATCTTAAGGTAGCAGCAAGAGGCTTGTGTGAGAAAGTCCTTTGTGGCTGTAGCTCTACATCTGCTGCAAGTCAATTAACTGAGAGCAGAGCCAGGGCTGGAGTGATTAAATGCAGCAGCTGTTGAACTAAATAAGCAACTGCTATCGTCCCCAGCCCTTGTCTGGCATCCAGGACAAGAAGGACTCAAGCTCACCCATAAAGGGGTCACCATTTATTCCTTTCAAATGTTACAAGAAAGCCCATACAGCTTTTTTTTTTTTTTTTTTTTAGAAGTTAGAAAATTGCAAATCAAGTGTTTTGGCCATTAAAAAATTATTTACAGAGAAAACAATGTTGCTTCACATTATACAGCTGGCAGGCCCCCTCCCTCCACCCCACACCCTAAAAGTTATCCCTTAGAAGCAGAATTAAACACAGCGGACTTACAAGCTTTATGGTTTTAAGCCAATAGTAAGACATTGTAAAAAACTAACCAGATTAGCTTTTAAACCATTGATTTCTATAAAAAGCACAAAATACTTTAAATGAAGTCAGAACCAGGAATGTAAACTGAGAAAAAAACAAAACAAAATCCATTGAACAGTCACTGGCTTGCTGGGCTTCGAAGGCTGCCGGGAGGAGAGTGGGGACAGTCAGGAGGCCAGCAGAGAGACCAGAGCAGGGCGAGAGATCTGGGTTCTTACAAACTGTAAATTCCAGTTATGTCCAGGATAGTCTTCCTCCACAGTTTTAAAGGATTCAGGTAAAACTACTCCAAGTAGGTGGTGACGGTGGGAATCCGAACCGGCTTTCTAACAGGAAGGGGGAAGAAATAACTGGAGGGGGGGGGTGGTTGGTTTTAGAAAGCGTCGTCAGTTCTGGGTGGGACAGGGAGGTGTGTGGGCAAGGCAGCGAGTCCGTGGTGTTACCGGGATGGAGAGGATGGCGTTTAAGAGTCTTAAGTTAGGACTGTGCCAAGTGGGCTCTACTCTTCCTTCTGCTCCGCTGGAGTTGTTGTAGGCTCAGGCCCCGCAGGTTTTGAGGGCTCCTCTGGTTTGGCTGTATCCCCGTGGCTTTCCCCCGCCTGCTGCTTCTCTCCCTCCTTGCTTCCCCCTGCTTCTACAGCCTCCCTCTTGGGCTCAGCTCCCTGCTGCCCACCCGCAGCGGGGCTGCTCTCCCCGGGGCTGCCCTGCTCCCCCGCTGTCCCCTCCTCGGGGGGAGCCGACGGCTCGGTCCCGCCGGCCGAGCAAGCGGGGGTCTCCTCCGCCTTGCCTTGGTCTTCCGTGGGCGAGGACCCAGAGGAGTCCCCGGCTTCTTTCTTGTTCTTCCTAAACGAGATCCCGCTCAGCTTGAAGGATTTCTTGAACGAGAACTTCTTCTTCTTCTTGGGGGTGTCCTTGGGGGCTGCGGCACCTTCGGGTTTAGCATCCCCCCCTTCGGCGGGGGGCGCGGGCTCGATGGCGTCCCCTCCGCCCGGCTCGCCCTTGCTCTCCTCCTTGAGGGGTTCAGCCGAGCCGTTCCCGTTCAGGGGTGCCGCCTCGCCGCCCGCCTTGGCCGTCATGTCCCCGTTGAGCCTCAAATGGCCGTTCTCCTGCGGGGGGGGGGTGGGTTGGAAGGGTGGGGGGAGCGGAGGCACCGCGTTAGGCACAGCCGGGACTCGGCATCCCCCCCTTAAAAAAAAAATCCACACCCAGTTGGGGTGGGGGGGCACCCAACGGGGGAACTGGGATGTACTGGGAATGAGGGGGGGGGGTTTGCACTGGGGGGGGGGGGGGGGTTTGACCAGGGCGCTGCCACCGGGCGGCGCCCGCGCTCCACGCCCGGTGCCGGGGCGAGGCGGCGGACGGGGCCCCCGCCCGGTGCCGGGAGGGAGCCCGGGGCGCGGCGCGGGCGGTGCCGCATCGCTCGGTGCCCGCCGGGCAGGAGGGTCCCCGGGGGCCGCCGCTGCCGCCGCCGCCGCCCCCTTCCCCTCCGAGCTGCCGCCGCCGCCGCAACCCGCCTTTGTCTGCCCGCCCGCCCCGGCGGGGCTCCCGGCGCCGCTCCCCCCGCCGGTACCTACCTGCCCGTTGGCCTTGGCGGGCTCGGTGGCGGCGGCGTGAGCGGTCGGCGGGGCGCTGCCCTCCGCCTTGGCCGCCTTAGAGCCCTGGCTGCCCATGGTGCGGCACCTCGGGCGGACCCCGCCGCGGCGGCTGCGCTCGGCTGGCGAGCGGCGCCGAAAGGGAGTGGGGAGAGCCCACCGCCGCCCCGGTAATAAGGCGCGGGGCGGGGGCGGGACGCATCCGAGCCCGCCCCGGGGGCGGGGGACGGGGGATGGAGCCACCGCCCCGGCGGGGACGGGGGGTACTGGCGGACGCCGGTTCCCCTCTTACCCGGCTGGGAGCCCCCGGAGGCCGGGGCAGCCCCGGTGGGGCGAGGGCGGGCTGCGGGGGGGGAGCGGGGTGCGGATCCCCCCAGCCCCGTCACCCCTTGTGTGCCTCTGCCCCCAGCCCCAACATCCCCGGGGTGCTGCTGCCCCCAGCCCCAACATCCCCGGGGTGCTGCTCATCCCAGCCCCGTCACCCCTGGGGTGCTGCTTCCCCCACCCCTGTCACCCCTGGGCTGCTGCTTCCCCCAGCCCTGTCACCCCTGGGGTGCCTCTTCCCCCAGCCCTGTCACCCCTGGGGTGCTGCTTCCCCCACCCCTGTCACCCCTGGGGTGCTGCTTCCCCCACCCCCGTCACCCCTGGGGTGCCTCTTCCCCCACCCCTGTCACCCCTGGGGTGCCTCTTCCCCCAGCCCCAACATCCCCAGGGTGCTGCTTCCCCCACCCCTGTCACCCCTGGGGTGCTGCTCCCCCCAGCCCCAACATCCCTGGGGTGCTGCTCCCCCCAGCCCTGTCACCCTTCGTGTGCCTCTGCCCCCAGCCCCATCACCCCTGGGGGTGCTGCTCCCACCAGCCCCCTCACCCCGTCGCCTCTCTGCGATGCCCCTGCCCCCAGTCACCCCTGGGGGGGGTCCCATGGTACCACTCACCCCAGCCGATCACCCCCGGGACAGTGGATGGTGCAGTTTGCCTCAGGCCCGTCACCCCAGGGTGATGGTACCGCTCACCCCAGCCCCATCAGTTCCCCGAGGGGTCCTGTGGTTGGGGGGGGACAGGTTGTGCCACGGGTCACACCCCGGCTCCCCGCCTCGCTGTACTCCCTGGCATGCAGACGGGTGGGTATTTCCCCTCTGAGTCTTCCTTCTCTCTGCTTTCCCAGAAAAGGAAAGATGAGGAGAAAAGAAAATGAGACTAAACGGAAGTGGATGCTAATGCTGGCGAGGGGCCTGCAGCTTCCCGGTGCTGCCGGGGCCACTGGCCGCAGCGTGGAGCCAGCAGTGACCGTGGGGGACCCACTCCCGGGGGCTCCCTTTGCACCCAGGCACAGCTGATTTCACTGGGGGGTGGGGTGGTGTGGCGCTCCCAAAACTGAGCCCCTTTTGTGCCTGTCCAAGTCACCAACGTTCTCTGGCCACCCCGCCAGCGGCTGCAGCGGGCCCCGCTCCCGAGAGCCGCGTCCTGAGCCCCCCGGCCCCTGCACCTCCCAGGCACCCTGCACCCCACTCCTGCCGAACCTGCCCCGGAGCCGCCGCAGGCGGGAGGGACCCCCCCAGCCCCCAGCTGCGCCGCAGAGCCCACGCAGGATCAAGGCCAGCATCTCCGAGGGGAAAACAATGTGCCGCTGTGTGCGCTCCGCCAACAAGGTCATGTTTTGTCTCTGTCCTCCCTTCCCCCCCACCCCCGGCACACATCATCTCACCCCCGTTAGAGCGACATTTCTCTGTTAATTAAAACAGGCGGCATCTTCCTTATTGACTTTTGGTTGCCAGTTGATAAAGCCTTTGAATGGCTGCCGGGCTGCTGCTGGTCCTTGCCCTCGCCCTCGCCTTCGGCCGCCTGCAAGATCAAGAGCTGCCCGAGCAGCTGTCAGGGCTGCAAAGCAGCCACGGGGGACGTACCCCGTGTAAAAAACACTCACTTTTCGGAGTGTAACGAGGCTGTTTGCTTTGGGAGGACAAACAGTCCAAGCAAGTGTATTGAACGAGTCAGTAAATGTGCTCAGTCTTCTGCCACTTGTTCCTGAGTTCCTCAGTGACCCCAGCCGTTACCTGCTTGGGAGCAAAACCCGGCAGAGCCGTGGGTGGTGAGCCCTTCCCTCTGCCCCAGCAGCCACCCAGTGCTGGGCAGCGTCTGTGCCAACCCCTCACTTTTCTTCCCACCTTCTGGGTGTGATTTTCTGTCTTTCTGCTGATGTTCATTTTGTCCTGGCTCTTCTCTGCAGGAACGGAGCCCTCAGGCTGCCGCCCCATCCCACCCCATCCCGCCGTGCTGCCCCGCGAGAGAGTTTTGGTTGTGCCAAGCAAACCCAAGCGAGCGCCAGCTTTGCAGTGTCTGTCTGAGACCGTCCATCCATGCCACATCCCCAAGACATTCCCGTCCTCCTCCACCAAAGCTGCAGGGGAGCTGCTGAGGTGAGCAACACCGAGAACCCACCCCCCATCTGCACCATCCCCGCTGCGGGTACTGCGAGGTGTGTGGGGGGGTGTCCGGGGGTGCAACCTTTCTGGTGACAGGGGCAGCCCTGGGGTGGCTTTGTCTGTCGGGTTGGGGTTGCAAACATGTACCCCATGCTGTCAGAGATGTTTTCTTCAGCGGTGGGCTGGATGAGTGGCCGGGATTGCTTTTTTGAGAAGGGATTTATCAGGCTGGGGCTGGCAGGGTGGCTGTGGCGCTGCTGCCGTGCTCTGTGCCGCTGGCTCAGCGGGGGCTGCTCGGCTTGGCCCCCCCATCCGCCGGCCCCCCACGCAAAGCCCAGGTCTCTTCCATGTTTTGCTGGAGGGGAGAAAGTGCTTTACACCCCGCCACAGCGATCAGCGGGCAGCGCAGGGGTGATGGGAGGCAGATGTGGCGTCTCTAAAGGGCAAACTTTAGCATGATCAGACAGGTCAAGATGCAGACCTGCTTGGCGGGGGGGGGAAGCCCCCCATCACCATCAGAGGCGATGCAGGAATCCTCACATGTGGTTTTCTAGCGGCTTTCATCTCCGAGGAATCCCCAGTTGCCACATCTCTCTTGATCCCAGCTTTTCTTGAAAACCCTCTTCTGCAGCGCTGCGTAGGGGATGTGTTTATAAATAGACACGTTCCCCTGTGGATTCCCGAGTGGTGCCTCCTCTTCCAAGGCCTGGCTCTGCTGCAGATCTCTGTCCTGCCCGGGCTGACGGCAGCAGCACCCGAAGGGCTCAGCTGGCTCAGGAGCGGTGGGTTTCCAGTGTGAACCGAACACCAACCCAAACCCTCCCAGTGGAAACCAGTGCGACCACCAGCCCCGCTTGCCGCAGGTTCCATCCCTCTGCCGCAGCCTCAGTCGTGGTCGGGCTCCTCCGTCCCGAGGTGTTGGACAGGGAACCGGAGCGGGGCAGAGGATGCTCCGGCTCCGCGTGGGCTCTTCGCTGGCTCCTGGGGCTTTGGCTGCTCGGGAAGTGATGGGGATTTGCAGGGTGCCAGCAGACGGACAGATTACGGGCCTGTCCGCTCCTCTAGCAGATGGACAAGCAGACAAATCTGTCTGCCTCTCTGAGCTCTGCTCCTGCCTGAAAGGCCTTGGGGACTCAAGATCTTTGTGGATGTTATCTTCCACTTTCCAGACCTACTTAAACTGCATGCTGATTATTAATTTATTAGGTGTTAAGCGCTGACAGGCTGCAAGAGAGAGCGGTGAGCGCAGCCCCTGTGCTGGGGGCGGGATTCGGGCAGGAGGGTGCAGTCCCCAGCCCCTTGCCCTGCTCCTGCCACCCGCTGTATTCCCTCAGCCCTTAACGAAGAATTAATGCAAGTGTTTATTCATGTATCTAGAGCCATTCACAAGCCTCTGATCATCTGCTTGAGGATTTTAACTGAGTTAGCGGGGGCCCAGCCAGGGCAATCAACAGCGCTGGGAATAAAGCAGAGGGATTTCCATATTGATTTATAAATAGCAGAGGAATTAGCTAATTAGATCTCTCTGGGGAGAGAATTCCAGCAGGGAGAGTGCGGGGCTGGGCTGGGCTGTATGCAGAGATGGACGGTAACGGCTTCTGCTGCCATGGCAGCTCCGGCATGGGAATGGTCCTTGCAAACAGCCCTCGGATAAAAATAGTAGCCACAGTTTAGGGTCTGGGGTCTGCCTCTGCCCTGCTGCCCGTGCTGCTGTGTCCACCAGCCGTGCCTGCCCATGGTTTGGCTTTCCCAGGCTCTGCAGTGCACCTTCAGGACACGGCCACCCGCCCGGTCCCTGGGGCAAGTGATGCTCCAGCTGCCGTAGCCCACGAGGGGACGGGGTGAAGGGGCTGGGGGACACCCCAGGGGCTGAGCGAGGCTGTCCTCAGCTGCAGAAGGAAAATCTGCCGAGCTTTGTGCCAGGGGATTTCTGCGGGGGACGAGGACCGACTGGGGCCAGGCAGGCAGGAGGAAGAGTGGGGCTGCATGGCGACCAAGGGGATCTTTCCAGTCCCATGCCCAAGCAGAAGTTGGTCACCACTGAACCTGCTCACGGCTGCACCGTCACCCGGGCTGACCCTCTGACATTTGCACCAGGGAAAAGCATCCTGGACCCAAGCAGGGGTCTGCCCGGGACTTTGCCGAGGGTCTGCCTGCTGCCTGCACAGAGTCAGTGCTGCAACCGGCGTCTCCGAATCCTTCCTGCCCTGGGAAAGGCTCCAGCCCGGGAGGCTGCAGCGAGGCGCTGACTTCCCATAGAAACACATGAAAGGGCCCGTTCTTGTATTTGCCAGAGCCCCGTCATTTTTGGTTGTGAAGATCCCATGGCAACCGGCACCTTGTGTAACTGCGTTTGCTATTTCTGGGCTTGCTTTTCACTCCGGTAACATCCTCCCCGCATCCCACCCCACAGGACCAGCCCCGTTCTCCCACCCCAGGACCTTTCTCCCCCCGTCACCCCCTTCCCTGGTCGCTATAAGGAGCCGGGGGCAGAGGTTGGCAGCTGTGAGTCATGGTGGAGGGAAGGGAGAGCAACCCCCTCTGTCTCTTATCTCGGAGACCATCTGCCCTTCTTTTTGGCCAGGAGCTGGAGCATTTGCAAACAAAGCCAAGCCCTCTAATCTAAAACCCTCCAACCTCATCAACGGGGTGGCTGGGGTGGGCTGGGCTGCCCAGAGCCCCCAGCCCCACTTCGCCCAGGGATTTGGATGGAGACTGTGGTAGGATGTGAGGGGTCCCGGGTGCCTCCCCACGGGCACAATCCTGGGGGAGTTTTGGCACGTTTCGGGGAGCCCCCACAACACCTTTCCCAGCCTCTCCCGTCTCCTCCCAGGAGAACAGGAACCCACTGCAACTCCCTCGCCCAAGCAGGATGCTCGTCCCACGCACCTTATCTCCTGCATCCTCGCCGTAGGCTGCATTTCGGTGCTGATAAAGGGCTCCCTGACCCTGAGCAAGCCGTGCGCTGCCGGTTCGGCCACATTACGAGAGCAGGACAGTTGCCAGAGGGTGTCCGGAGAGAAAAGGGGTCGCAGCATCCAGCTGGCAGCAGAGATGAGAGGGCGGCTGGGTGTTGCCTTCCAGCTCCGGCCAGGGGTGCTGGCAGGGTCCCCCAGCCAGGTTTGAGTGGGGACTGTGTTTCAGAGCCTCCTTCCTCGTTAGAGGGGAAGTTTATAAAGGAAACAAAAGCGATGCTCAATCCAAGTGGAGCTTTTCCCATCCCGTTTCCTCTGGAGCTGCCTGCGGAGGTGCCACAGGAGCGTGCCTGCACGCCAGGGCCGGGGGTCCTGTGTGTTTTGGGCATCACCCCGCTGCACGGTGCTCGCCAAGTCCAGCCTTGCCACGGGGAACGTGACCAGCTGCGGTGGCATCCTGCCGTGGCGGGGCCGAGGTGAACACGGGGTGCTGTCCTTCCCTTGGGGACAGTGACACCCCCCCCCGCCCCGGTTGTCCCCAGGGTGGGCTCAGCTCCCTCCATCCCTGTGCCCTGTCCTGGTGTCCGGTGGCAGAAGGGACCTCGAAGTTCCGCTGTGCTGCCCGAGTTGCTCCCATGCAAGTGGGCTGCTGGTGGCTGCCACAGCTCCCAGTGGGGACACGTGGTGGCTCTCACGCTGCCACGGGGACGTGGGTTAGGGTCAGCCGTTGCTTCTACTCAGGGCAATGCCTCCACCAAGCCGCACGGAGCTCTGCCTGCGTGTCGGCAGCTCTACCTTGGCCTCTGGCACGGGTGAGTGTCCTTTCCCCCGCTGTGTGAGGCGGGCAGTGCCCCGCGTTCCTTCCCTGTCCCCGGAGGGCACAGCCGTGGGTGAGCCCTGGGTGTCCGTGGGGGTTTCAGGGGTGGGTGCATGGCTACCCCTCCTGGCTTTGGGTGCAAAGCCAACGTGGGCCCGGCCCACGCACATCCACCAGTGCGGGCCCAGCGAGCATCTCACACCTGCGCAGCCACGGCACCGACCCCAAGGATGTCCCTGGGCGCGGGGGCACGGGCAGCTCATCCTCTCCACCGCCAGAACCTCCCCCCCCCCCCTCCTCCCCGCAACCCAGCGCCGTGACCCCTTTTGCCCGAGTCCCTGGGGTCGATGGCAGCCAGCCGACCGCATCGCGGGGCAGCCGGCGCTGCCGGACCCAGGACAGGAAAGCGGCGCTGGGATGCTTTGGGGCAGCGGTCCCTCCCCCGGCGAGCAGCCGGGGATGTATGGGCCTCTTTCTCCCCGCAAGTCAATGTGTCTTTTTGTTGCGCTGCTGGGTTTTGATGCCTGCGAGCAGGGAGAGACAATACGTCGCATTGTTCCTTTTCAGCAACATCTGACGGGCCCAGGCAGAGAGAGGCCAGTGTGTGCGAGGACGGCCGTGGGGGAAGGGACTGGGATGGACGGACAGGCGGCAGGAAAGACGCCGGGACACCCAGGCCAGGCCTGGCTTCTGCCTGCCTGGATGAAGGGCTGGAGGGATGGGGAGCACTGGAGGGGTGCTGGCGGGGGGGGGATGTGGGAGCTGGGGGGCGGGCTGATATCTTCTGGTACCTAAACAGCCTGGAAAAACAGCCCTGAGAGATGCAAACCTCCAGCCCCACTCATCTTAACGGACTATTAACTGTAAAGCCTCATTAGGAATCTGTAAGTGTCAATACCATTAACCTGTTCGTTGCTGCCTCCTCTACCAGAGGATCCCAGCTGATTCACTGGGGTTGTGCAGCCAGGGGTGCCTGTCACCCCCCGATAAATCCTGGGGTTTGCCAGGAAAGCCCTCTCTCTGAAATCCCACGCAGGTGGGATGGGGCAGGGGCTCGGTCCCTGCCGGGGTGGGTGGTGGGGGGGAGCCGGGATCGGAGCTCGGCGGGGGAATCACGGCAGTGCTGGGCTTGTCTGCAACTTTCCATCAGAAATCCCCTCCTTCCCTTCTCCCCTGCTGTTCCCCGCCTGGATTGCTTCATTGCTAGGAACAGAATTCCCCTCTGCCTCAGAACAAAACCGAAAGTGTCCCTGAGGGCCACTGTGGCTGTGGACAGGGCTGGGTGGGAACCCGAGGGCCACCAGAGCCCAGAGACCCTGATGATGGGCTCCGGGGGGGGGGGCTGCTCTGTGCCCCAGCCCGGTGCTAAGGTTACCGGGGGGCACTTTGCCTCGCCGGTGTCCCAGCCGTGCCGGTTTGGCTCTCTGCCTCCTGGGAGCTGGTGGGATGCTCTGAGGCGGGGGGGGACGGGACAGGGGGGATTTTGCACCCAGCGGGAGCAGGTGCTGCTCCCCGTCCCCCCTCCCCGGGCTCACCCACCTCTCGCACAACTTTGAGGGTTGGGGGAGCATGGAGGGGCCTTCGCTGAGATGTTCCCCATCCCGTTGCAAAGGGGTTCTGTGGGCTCGCTGTGGTGGGGGACCGGCACCCCCCCCGCCCACACCCCGCTCCCCGCCATGGCCCGCAAAGCTCCCGGGAGGGGACGGCAGCCGGTTACGGGCTCGGTGGGGGCCTGTCGGGCGGGGGGGGCCGGTGGTGTGGCCTTGGCTGGCGGCAGCGGTGCCCTCCCCGCCCCCACGGCTCGGCAGATGCATTTCGCCCAGCCTTGCATGCCCGTAGCCATGGCAACGGCTGCGCGGCGACGGGATGCCGGGGGGCTGCGGGCGCGGGGCTGCGCCGTCGCATCGCTGCCTCTGCACCCCGCGGCTTGCCTCCACCCCCCGGGCTGCCTGCCTGAACCCCAAAGCGGGGCTTCACCCCGTTCCCAGCAGCGACGCTGAGGGCGCATCCCAGCCCGCGGCGGCGCGTCCCGCTTTTGCACACGCGTGTGCAAGCGCGGCCGCGGGCACCAGCCGGTGCATACGCTCTCCCCGGGGGGGACGGTGCCAAGGCGGGGGGGGGGTGGTGGGGGGAGCAGCGCCGCGGGGAGAGTCTGGGCAGGGTGGGGATGGAGCCACTCACCCCGTTATCGGGGCTGGGCAGCCATAAAGCCGGGGCTGTTTGCATTGGTGCGGCCGCGCTGGCGTTGCTTTGTCTCCACGTTAACTTTTAACCCCGGCGGCTTCTCCGCTCCGCCGTCACCGCTGCGCCCCGCCAGCCTCACCGGGACCCCGCGACTCGGGGTGCTGGAGCCCCAGCATCTGCCAGCTCTCTTGGGAGGGGGCTGCTGGTGGGCTGCCGTCCCCCCGTCCTCCCAGCATGGCACATACCTGCTCCGTGCCCGCTGGCAGCAGGACGGGTCCTGGCCTGGCTGCATCCCACTCCTGCCGACTTTGGGGATGCCTCCGGGGGTGGCCGGAGCTGGTGGGGGGGCGAGGGGAGTGGGGGGCAGCAAAGCCATCGCAGCCCCGGGGAAGATGCAGCCGCTGCCTGCACCGCTGCCTGCCCCAGCCCCCTCACCGCCGCGGCGCGGGCAGCTGCCAGCCCGGCTGGGTTTGGCAGCAAAGCAGCTCAGCTGGAGAAAAGCCTCCGGCTCCGGAGTGACCCACTAACCTTGTTCTTCTTAAAAATGCATGAAATGCAGGCGGCTGCCCACGGGGACCCGCACACGCACGCTTTGCACTCGTGTGGGGGCACGTTTTTGACACTGCACCCACGGCCCCGGCTCGGGCAGCGGTGGCGGGGGAGCCTGGGGGTGCACGCCACTCTCGCTGCTCAGATTTTGGGGTGTCTGCAAGGCACGGGGGGCTCTGCTCTCGCTTTGCTGGTGTGGGTTGATGCTCTGCGTGTCCCCCAGCCCCGGCGAGGGGCTGCGTGCCCGCAGCACGGGCAGGTTCCCCAGGATGGTGCTCGGCTATGGTGCAGCCCTTCTGCTCGGCTTTGCCAGGGCTGCCGGGCTGTGGTAACACCACGGGCTGATGCAAAGCCCACCCAACACATCCCCCCTCTGCTGCACCCAAGAGCCAGCCGCCCTGGCCAGATCTGGGGTTTGCTTTGGGTTCCCCTCAGAGGACCCAAAGGCATCCCAAAGAGCCGTTCCCACTCTGGCCAGAGCCACAACCGGGTCCCACTGGAGACACGAGGGGGATGGCAGGGTCCTGCTGCTTCGGAAGGCGAGGCGGGCGCAGGCTCGCCCTGTCCCCTGGCTGCCATCACAGCCCTGACCTCGTTTCTCTCCAGCATCCCCATGCTTTTAATACACCTCGGCCAGATGGCTGCGAGCCGGGGGGCGGGGGGGGGACAGCGGGTCAGCCCCACCACGGGGGCACAGCCCCCCCACTCGCAGCAGCCACCACCCTGGCGAGGCTGCAGCCCCGGCGCGGCGCTCGCTGCGGCAGTGCTGCTGCCCGTGGCAGGGGCTGCTTCCCCACCGCCCTGGCAGGGGTTAACAGATTTCTCTCTTGCACGCAGCTGACTTCATTCTGATCTCGTTTGCATAGCTGATTTGGTGGCTGCAACACCTCGGCTGATGCGGTAAAGACACAGGGAGGGTATTTTTAGCTGCTTTGGGTTTGAGCCGGGCGGCCCCGGGGCAGCGTCCGACCCCAGCATCCCATCACAGAGCACCTGAGGGGGGGAACGGGCACATCCAGCCCCCGCCATGAACCGAGGCCTTCGGCAGGAGCAGCACAGGATTTGCAGGATTAAGGTTTTGCCTTTTTTTTTTTTTTTTTTTTGTAGTTACAATCTTGTTTTAAGAAGAAGAAACAAACCCCAGAAGCCAACAGCAGCCCGAGCTGCAATGCCTGTCAGCCTGGATTGACTAAACCGCGGCGCAAGACAGAGCAGCTTCATCCCTTGCTCAGCCCCCCAGCCCCCAGCCCGGAGAGGGGCTCACTCCCTGCCTGGATCCGGCCACGAAATGTTTCCCATCCTCTTCCCTCCCTGCAGCAGAGCCCAGTTTTGCTCTTGTCGTCAGGAGCTTCCCAGTCTCGCTGCCGTGTGCTGCTGCCCACACGGCTCCCTCGCCCCCAGACCGGCTGTTTCAACCCAGGAGGAAATCACAGCGGGTGGCGAGGTGGCGGCGGGGGGGGGGGGGAGTTTTTCTGAGCCCTTTTGGAAACCCCTGTGGCTTCCTCTGGGCTCTCAGCCCTTGCTCGTACAGCAGCAAAGACGAGGAACGGCATGAATCACACGCAGGAAACTTTGCATTGCTCATCCTGTCGCTGCCCGTGGCCGAGACCATGCCGCTCGCCACAGCTCACAGGACCGTGCCACCCTGTCCTGCCCCGTCCCTCGTCACCCACCTCGCCTGCTCAGGGCCACCCGAGCCGTGGCGTTGGCGTGAACTCGGCTGTCCGGAGCTGCGTGTGCACGCGTGCGTGGGTGCGCATGGCTGCGTGGGTGCCCGTGATCATGGGCGCATGTGTGCATGAGCACACGGGTGCACAGGTGGCTGCACACACACAGCTATGTGCACGCTCCCATGCATGCACCCGGGTGTGCAAACACGTGCACCCAGGTGCGCACACACACACACACACGTGCACCCACGCACAAGCATGTTCCTCCCCCCCTCCCCAGCCAGGCCCTGCTCATCCCGGTGCCAGCCAGGTGGCAGAGGAATCAGTCTCTCGACTCCTCTGACTAATTAACATAAATTGACACTGACTAATTAACCATCCTGGCTCATTAGAGCCCCGATGCCACATTGCTGGGAACAGCAGGCAGCCGAGCCTGCGCTGTCGAAGCACCGTGGCCACACTCTGCCCCACGCCAGGCACCGGCCACCCCTGATCCCCCCCGCGGGGAGTGTCCCCGTCCCCTGTCCCCATCCCACAGCCCTTGCTGAGGCTGCTGGCAGCGATAACGAGATTGGTTCCTAATCCACTTATTCCAGGCTGGCGCGGAGGGCTGGCAACAGCCTGCTTCCAGTGCCTGGTGGGCAGTGAACCCCTCAGCCCCGGCACCTCTGACCCCCCAGGGTACCCCGACAACCCCCACAGCGGCACCAGGGTGGGTGGAGAAAACACTGGTGGTCTTGGATGAGCAGCCGTGGGGCAGGGAGTGGTGCTGAAGGAGGGTGAAACGTATGTAAGGACCGTGGAGGGACAGTGGCATCACCCCTGCTCCATCCCTGCAGGGAGGGGTGAACCTGCAAGGGGAGGCGACAGCACAAACGTCACCTGCCCTGCAGCAAGGTGGCCCTGGGAGCAGCAGCGATGAGCAAACCTTGCATCAGCCGGGAAGGGAGATAAGGAGCCCTTCCTCATCCTCACCCTGGGGGGGACACGGGGGGGGGGGGGGTGTGCTGCTTTAGGGAGCGGGGCGTAGGGGCAGGTCACCCCAGCACAATGACACCCTCTCTGCAGCTCTGCAGGAGGAAGGAAAAGGAAATTTTTCGCTTCCCTCTTTTCTAAGGGCTCCGGCGCGGCTGCCCGGGAAGCGGGGGCCCCCGCGCAGGTCCCGTCCTGCCGCCGCACCCCGTGCCCTCCACCGGCCCCCCCGGGCCTGCCGCTGCACGCCGCTTCCCGCCGGCTGACTCGGGGCTGAGTCACGGCTCCGCACGCCCGACCGGTTTGGGGGAGACCCTTGGGCTCAGCGTGGGAACGGCCTGACCTCAGCAGCACGGGGCCGGGGCCGGCCCTGCTGAGCTGCCCGGTGGGACCCCAAAACAAAGAGGGGGGGCTTTGCACTGGGGGGTATCGGTGCTCCTGGAAAGCTTTTGCTCGTTCCCGCCGGGTGAAGGCAGCCCTGCGTGCAATCCCTGCCACCCTCATGCAGTGGATTAAAAACTAGGTCAGTGGTAGATCCCCAAAAGTGATTGCAATCGGGGAATTGCTGCTCCCCTGGGTGTCAGCCCGGGGGGTCGGAGGGGGGACTTGCTCCGTTCGCTGCCTTTATCACTGAGCTGGAAGAAAATGGCTGGTGAAACGCGGACCCTCCTTCCTAAAATTACCCAACTGAGCCGGGTCGCTCCCGCAGCAGCGTCAGGGCCAGGTCCCACGCGGAGACCGGGGACCCGAGTCCCCGAGGAGGGTGCAGGGTCTTGGGCCAGCAACTGGGGACACTGTCCAGGGTGGGGTTGTGGAAGAGCCATAGGGAGGATGGATGGTGCTGGCATGGAGGGGAAAGCTGGAAACCCTCGGTGCGTGGGGTGGACGTGGGGGGCCGGGGAGGAGGGAGAGCGGCTGCGGCAGCCCCAGCGCCGGCGGGCAGGAAACCGGGCGGCAGCACGGGACGGAGCAGGAAGGCAGCCGGCGGCCCCGGGGTCGGCGGAAGCGGGGCGGAAAGGCTCGGGGAGGAAGCCTGGCCCTAACCACGGGCTGCCCCCGGTGCACGGGTGTCCCACGGGGGGCACCGAAGCCGCGGCTGGGTGCTGGAAGCCGGGACGCCGAAACTCCCTCAGTGCTGGGAAAAAGGCCCTTCCCGGGCGAACCCTTGGCTGCCAAACGTCTCTCCGCCGCCCTTGGGGCTACGAGCCGTGGCGTGCCCCGCAGCACGCCGCACGCCGCGACTCGCAACCTCTGTGCCGCAGCGTGGGAGATCCTGCAACCGGCTCCGCTGCCGGCCGGGGACACGACCCAGCGCGTCTGTGCTGGGGCAGGACCCCCGGGACCCCCCCCCTGCGGTGGCCGGCGAGGTGATGCTGCTGCCCACGAGGCTCCTGGCTGGGGTTGAATCAAAACGGGCCCCCCCGGGGGCATACGGGTGGGTTTGGGGGATACTTATGGCCCTTTGGATCGCCGGGAGGGCTCAGGGGTGCTCAGCCTGTGCGGAGCCCGGGATGGGGCCACCCCAGAGCCTGACACCCACCCCGGAGGTGGGCAACCTGCCCAGCTCGCCCTGCTCCCCGCCTTGTCCCCAGCTCTTGGGAAATGTCCCCGCGCCCTCCAGTCTCCTTTCATCACCTTTCACTCCTCAAGCATTTCCAGCCCCTGCCTCGAAATGTATTTAGCTCAGCCCCCGAGCGATGCTGTGGGGAGGGGACGTGCTCTTGGCCGTGGGTCTCAGCCCAGTGGCCCCCAGCACGGCGCAAAGAAGTGGGCTGGAGCGGTGGGAGCTGCCATCCCTCCGGCTGTCGGTTCAGCAGCGGAGCAGAGGATGGAGCTGTTAAATATTTACAGCCGGTTGGGTAAAATGGCAGCGGAAGCAGAGCCGGGGGGATGACGGGACGGCTCTGCTCCCCTGCGGCCCATCTGGCCCCCGCGCTGCTCCGTGCATTGTAATGCTGCAAGCCGCCATCTGCTCCCCGTGGGGGCTGCTGCTTCCCCCACCCGGGATCAACTACAGTGGGGCCGTGGGTACCGGAGATGTCTCTGCTCCGTTGCACAAGTGCAATGAGTTTAGCGGTCTCAGGTGATGAGCTGAGGACCAGGAGAGGCTGGGTGGTGCAGCCCTACCGCCCCGTGCTTGCTCACCCCAGCTCCCCACCGTGGACTTGTTCGGATGAGAAAATGAGGGCGTGCGTGCGTGTGTGTATGTGTGTAATTGCTAATGAGGATGTGCCTATGCTAATTGAGGGCTGCCAATTATGGTAGGTCTCGCTGGCTCGGGACGGGGCCTCGTGGGCCGTGTCCTGCCCCGGTTTTGGCCAGGTGAGCCCTGGGCAAGGTCAGGCAGCAAGAGGGGGAGCAGTGGTGGCCAGCTCAGCCTGGCTCAGCACCTCCTGGATTCGGGTGCCCCGGCCCCACAGCAACCCCGCGGCTCTGGGTCTGGGGGACAGTGGGGCCCGGGGTGCTGCTCAGGGGCCCCCAGCCCAGGGGAGCAGCGATGCTGGTGGGATGGGCACTGGGAAGATGCTCCCACCACCTCCCTGTGATTTTTTTCCCCCCTCCCCCATGTTCTCACACAAAACCTGCCATGGCGGGAGATGGCCCTGGTGAACGAACCCTTAATTACCCACTTTAGGGATTTGGCTTTATTAATGGCATCAACAATTATTAAAGAAGAATTAAAGCTACCGGCCTCCAGATAAAGGATGACACAGCCCAGCCGGGAGTACCCACATGCACTGCGTGCTCAGGCTGGGGACCTTCAGTTTTTTGGGGTGCTCCCGTCCCCCCACGCCCCCCTGGCTCGGTCCCCACACCTGCTGGATGCTGGATTCAGCAGTGAACCAACCAGGGACAGGCTGGTGTTTTGGGGGGAGGGATAAAGAGGAGGCGTGGGGGGGTGCGTGTTGTGCTCCGGGTGGGATATTGCTGCTGCAGGTTCACCTGGCACTCGGGGAGCCCCCCCATGACCAGAGCATCGGGGTCCCCAAGGGACACCAGCACCATCTCATCTCTGTGTGCTGCATCGGGGCAGAAAAGAGGCATTTGCAGGCTTGGGGGTGAGATCTGTGCTGGTTGTTTGTTCCCTGCCACGCTGGGGGCAGAAGCTCAGTGGGGTGCACGTGTGGGGCAGGTTTGCGGGTCGGGGGCTGCCGTCTGCGCCGAGCTGGGGTGGGAACCGGGTGGATAGAGGTCCCCGGGGACGGGGATGCGGGTGGCAGACGTGGCCTCCCAGGAATGTCGGGACAGGCTCTTCGGGGAAAACCACCACTTCCCATCAGCTGCATCCGTTGGGAAGCGGTGAGGGGGATTCCCGGCGGGCAGCGGGAGGCTGAAGCTTATCCCCTGCGCACGTGCCCCATTTCGGGTCTGCACAAGGGGGTTCTCAGCCCGCAGTGCCCCCCGCAGTGCCGGGCCCCGTGGAGGAGGTTTCAGCCTGGCTTTTTGCTCTGTGATGCACCAACACGGCCGTTATCTTGGGGTGCTGTGTTTTGGGGGGGGCACCCCAGCATGTGTCCCCAGCACACACCTGTACCCACGTGCCCTCCTGGCTCGGGGACCCCACTGTGGTGCCAACGGGCTTCCCCCCCCCCCCCCCCCCCCCCCCCGCAGCTGCCCGGTCCTGCCTGGCGCAGACAGGACGGCTGCCGAGCTCGTTAGGTGCAGGTGTGGAATTAGCCATAATTGCCTGCACTTTGATGTCCGTAACCTCCTCCCAGAGGGACACTCGTTACCTGCAACAAACCTGCGCCTGGCATCTGGCTGCTAATCCCGGGATTAGCGGGAGTGGGAAGGGCGGCAGATGGAGCCTGGCCAGGCCAGGACCCCCGAGGTGCAGCGCTGCACTGTTTGGGTTGTCCGGGACCCCTGGGGTCACCAAGGCAGCTGGGACCCCAGTGAAGTTACCTCTGAGGAGCACCCCCCGCTGCTCCTGGGGGAATTCCCACCCGGGATCTCCCTCGGGACATTGGCCCCTCCAGGGCCCCCGGGGAAAGCCCCTGTGCACTCCCTGCCAGACGATTCAAGGGAAATGAGCAGTTCCCTGCTCCCCACGACAGCACTTCCCAGCTGCAGGAAAAGCCTTTTCTGGGAATCCAGTAAGCTCCATGTCTGGGCCAGGTCCCTGCAAGGAGGAGGGGGACAGGGTGCAGTGGGGTGCAGACACCCTTCGGGGCTGGGGGCTCTGCCTGGAGGTGCTCGGTACTGAGGGTCGTTGTTGCTGGACCTGGGGAGACCTCCAAGCCCACCCGGTACGACTGGGAGCCCAAAAATTGCAGCCAAAGTGGCTGCAGCTCGCCCACCCCCAGTCGGGCCACCCCGTGGCGGGGGGACGGGCTCCATCGCCCCGGGGCTGCCCGCTCTGCCCGGCTTCTTCTTGCCCCCAAAATATCAGCAGTGGCCTCAGGCTGGGCAAAGGGGAAGGAGAGAGGGAAATGGCCGCAAATCTCCAACCTGAACCCCCCCGCAGGCAGCTGCCCTCTTCCTGCCTGTGTGGCTGCACGGGGTCCCGGCCAGACGGGAGGAGGAAAGGGGGGGTCCTGCCAGGGGCTGCACCCAGGACTGTGTGTTGGGGGGAGTGTCTCTGCCCCTCCACCTCCCAGCCAGGCCCCCCCCGCCCCGTCCCATGGGCTGAGTGCCCCGCGGCTGCGTGTTAACCTCGGGGTCCCCGCTCAATGGGAGGAAGGAAATCCTCATCCTCGGGAAAGGCTGGACACGGCCGTTTCCTCCTGCTGTGGTGGGGAGGGGGCTGGGGCACAGGCACACCCTCCCCCGGCGCCCCAACATCATCCCCCACCCCCCCATCCCGGTCAGCAATCCCATCCAGAGACTGGATCTGGCCCTGGCTGGGGTGATATGAGAGCCAGGGGACAGGCTGGCGTGGGGCCTCTCTATCCCCCCCATCCCAGCAGGACCTGCTGAGGGTCCTCGGGGGGGGCTTCTTGCACACCATGAGCCCAGAAAAACCCCCCTGCCCCTTGGCCATCGGCTTCCCCGTGCGTGGGTGGGAGGCTCAGCTCCGTCCCTGTCGCCCCGCGCTGCCGACGGTGCTGCCCGTGGGTGTGGGGGCACAATCCCGCGGGGCTCAGCTGCACCCCAGCTCGCCACGGCTCCTTGTTTTTTCCCCCACGCTCTTCCTTCCTCTTCCTCGCCCGTGCCCTTCACCCCCCGCTGACACGCAGCGGCTGATAACAAACAGGCGAGCGGCGGCGGCTTTGTTCCCGCTGGCCTTTGACCCCACCGTGGGCCAGGGGTTGACGCTTTGCCCGCGGGGTGGGATGCTCGGGGCCGGCTTCGTGGCTTGGCCAGGCACCGAGCCCCCGCGCCGTGCCCGGGGTCACCTCTCTGCGCGGGGTCACCTCGCCGGCACGGCCGGGCACAGCACCCTGTCCCCACCCGGTGCAGCCGGACGATGCTGCTGCCGGCCCGGAGTGCTGCAGGGTCCGGTCGTGGCTCCCCGGGGCCCACGCGCTCCGGTTCGGTGTTTGATCTTTGGTTTAATTGGCAATAATCATCCTGGGGTGGACGGGGCTCCCACGGCCTGGAGAGCGGTGGTGCTGCTGGGGTAGGACTGGGACCAGGACTGGGACCAGGACCGGGACCAGGACCAGGACCAGGACCAGGACTGGGTCCAGGAACAAGGACTATGTCTGGGACCAGGACTGGGACTGGGAGCAGGACCAGGACCAGGACCAGGACAAGGACTGGGACCAGGACTGGGACCAGGACCAGGACCGGGTCCAGGACAAGGACTGGGTCTGGGACCAGGACTGGGCCTGGGACCAGGACTGGAAGCAGGAGTGGGATGGGGACTGGGAGCAGGAGAAGGAGCAGGAGCAGGGCCAGGACCAGGGCTGAGAGCGGGACCGAGAGCAGGAGTGGGACTGGGAGTGGGACCAGGATGAGGACCGGGACCAGGACAGGGACTGGGACCAGGACCAGGAGCGGGACCAGGATCGGGACCAGGACGGGAACTGGGATCAGGACCGGGACTGGGAGCGGCCGCGCGCGCCCCGGGCGCCCCCTGGCGGCGGCGGTGGGGCCCGGGCGGAACAAAGGCCGGATCCGGCGGCGGCGGCGCGCGGGAGCCCCGGGACCGGGACCGGGACTGGGAGCGGGATCGGGATCGGGATCGGGATGGGGACCGGGAGCGGGAGCGGGACCGGGAGCGGCCGCGGCTCTGGGGCGGCCCCGCTGCCCCCAGCCCCGAGCTGCGCCCCTTCCTCCTCCTCCTCCTCCTCCCCAGGGTGATGTCACCCGCTCATCCTCCCCGGCCCCAGCCCTGGGCAGACCTGACGGGCAGGTTGGGCAGGAGAGGCGGCAAGAGGCGGGGGGGTGGACGGGGGGACGGACACGACACACACCCAACCCGCTCATGGAAAGGCAAAGCGGGAGCAGCCGGAGCTCCCCTGTCCACACCGGGTCCCGTCCACACCGGGTCCCCTCACGCCAAATCCCCTCACGCCGGGTCCCCTCACGCCGCTGCAGACCCCAAACCATTCCCTGCGCAGGCTGCGTGCGAGGGGCTGCAGCAGTTCCAGTGCAGCAATTTAATAAAAATCATCGTAGCGAAACAACGCAGCCTTGCCCTCCAGCCACGGAGCGTGAGGGGAGGCTGCAGGAGGTCCTGCGGGGTCTCCGGGAAGGACAGGGATCGGGGCTCACCCCTTATAAAGGAACCCAGACTGAAGTCGTGAGCTTTAACACACCTGTAATTCTCATCCTCCCAACTCAGCGCCAGCTGGAGCTCCGGCTGCAGCAGAAGCAGCAGTGTTTGCACCTCTCAAAACGAAGCACCATTGTTAATAAATCACTCCTCTCAAACACAAACAGGAGGAGGCCTTCTTGGGGGATTTTATCAGGCAACAAACACACAAACAACTGTTGGGAGTAAAAAAATATGTTTTTTCCTTTTAATTACATCAGTTATCAAAGAAAAAAAGCAGTGGTAACAAAAATACAAAGCTCTGAGGGTTTCTTGTTTTGTTTGTTTTGTAATAAGCTGAGCATCAGTGCAATTGTTTTAATTTAACTTCTGCTCTGAGTCTCTGCTGGCAGAATATGAGTAGGCTTTGCCCAGCACCAGACGGTCACGCAGCAGCTTGAAGAAGGCGTAGTAATTGCTGAAGAGGATCAGAGCCAGCGAGATGGTCTGGTGCCACTTCTCTGAAGAAATCAGCGAGTAAAGCTGGTAGAAGATGACGGCTCCTTCCAGCAGAATCAGGATATTGAGGATTCTCAGTGGTTTGCTGAAAAAGAACTGTAGGAGAGACCACAATAAGGCACCGAGTGGGGTCAGACCCTTCAGGATGCGTTTTTGACAGGAGGCGTGAGGTAAGAGGCCGGTGAGGATTCCTCTGGGGTTCCCCTCTGGAGACACGACAGTGATCCGTGACGCGGATTTGCAGGGGCCAGGGTCACCCTGCTGGCAGCCCCGAGGGGAGCCCCGCTCGCCCCGGCGCAGCCCGCGGGCAGCTCTCCCCCGCGGAGAGCCGGCTGGGGCCCTGCGAGGCGCTGCGGCCAAGAGGCCGGAGGCACTGCACCTCGGTCCCCAGCAGGGAGATGGGATCTTACGTGAAAGCGGAAGTGCGAGACGTCCGAGGGCACCGCCACGTTGTAATGACCCACAGCTTTGTACACATTCTTGCTGTGCTTCACCAACACTCCCTGCGGCCACATGCACTCCTCTGTCCACCTGAAGGGAACAAGCAGAGCGCTCTTATTTCTACCTCCACCGCCGAAGTGGGGGGGGCTTGGGGGGTGGGGGGGGTGTCCTGCTGCCTCCCCACCAGCAGCCAGGACAACGTACGAGCTGCTTCCGCAGCGCTGGCCGCGGCAGTAAGCTGACATCATTTGCGAGGGCAGAGTTTGGCCCACCGAGGCGTGTAACTACGGCAGTGACAAACTGCGGTTACCTGTGGGCAGAAGCGGCACAGGCACCTTGCCAAAAATCAGATCTGCTTGCTGTGCTTGGAAGTGGACAGTACAGACAGTGTCTGTAAGCTGTCGGATGCGTCAGCTGACAACTCTGCTTTCATTTTTCCTTCTCTCTTTTTTTTTTTAAAGCAACAAGAGGAAGAGGAGAGGTGGCTGGAAAGCTGAGCTCCCCATCCACCCTCTGTTCACGCCAACAGGCATGCCAGTGAAGAGCAAGCTCCAGCCCCAGCCCCAGGAGAGAGTTCCTTACTGATGCTGTAGCACATTGGAGCAGAGGGCCGGATCGACCTTCTGCCAGCAGCCCAGGTGCGCTGCAGCTTTGTGGAGCAGGTCACAGTAGCGTGCAGGTAAGAGGTACTGCATCAGGATCACAGACGTGCTGATGGAAACCAGAAGGAAGAGCTCACACGACCAGCGTTTGTCATAGTACTGAGTGTTCTGTGGGGGGACAAGAAGAATGTGTGACAATGTGTTTGGACAGCCTCACCTAACAAAGCCATCAAAACACAAAGCACTCAGGCAGGTAAAACGAGGGCTTTTCACGTAGCTATTAATCCTGCTTGAAAAAGAAGCGCCCACATAGGATGGCGGCTGTACAACTCCTGAACATACCACGGCGAAACATTTATACTATCATCACCCATCACCAAAACCAGGAAGGTAGTTCCTGATGCTCCCCTAGCTCAGCTGATGATGGGTGGGAGCACCAGCCCCTCAGGGGAAGGGGACTTGGGCTCATCCCCAAGGTCTGACAGATTTACCGTAAGACATTTGTCTCACTGTACAACATATTAGTAACTTAAATAAAACAGCTAAGAATCCTAATAAGGTCCATCCTCCTTCACACTGCTTCCTTTATTAAAGTGAGTCTCCTTGTCCCAGAGCTCTGTCCCCACAGAAGGTCAGTGTGCGAAGGAATGGTCGGCCTGGAGTCCTTCTAGCTTCAGGGGGAGGCAGGATGGATGCTAGAGGTGGATGCACACTCTCACCAACAGACAGCACTTGACCAGGACAATATTGTCCTCCGTTATCTGGCGTTTAAGTAAAGCTGAACCTAGATGGTTTTGCTTCTTACTTTTCACAAGGCCTCTGTAAATGGGTTTGACACGGCCGGCTGTGCACACAGACCAGCCCTCTGACTGACCTCTCCCACCCGCCAGCCAAGCAAGAAGTGAGAACCAGACCTCCTCCACAACCCCACGTCCACCTCCCCACAGTCCTCCCCAGCGAGCCCCACGCCTGGAGAAGCCGTGTCTGCAAGAGCAGCGGTGGCCCTTGCTCACCTTCACAAACCAGACCGGCACAAAGGCCACGTAGTAGGCACTGAGCATGGAGCTCACCAGCACCTCTTTCATCCGCCAGTTAAAGTCCATTTTCAGGTATTCCACCTCATTGCGGATGAGATCTGGGGAGAGGCAGCAGGCATGAGTGGGCATGGCCTCCATGCCGTACATCTGCCGAGTGTGCTGCTTCCACGTTTCCTTTAGAACTGTCAGGTAGTCTCGGCCCCTGGGGGTCACCTCGCTGGTCTCTCTGGGACCGATGTTGGCCACCTGGGAGAAGAGGCCCGTCTTCCGAAAGTCACAGTTCAGCTGCAGGAAGGGAATGTACATGCCAAACCTGGAGCAGCAAAGTGCAGAGAAAGGTGGTTACTTCCTTACGAGCTCCCCATGCAACGCCTTTGCTGGCAGCAGATCAGCATTGCGATCACATCCCTCCCCTCATTAGCATCTAGTACCTATATAAACTCCAGAAAAGAGCTTCATCAATCTGATCTCATACACAAGCACTGAGTCTCAGATCTTTATGAGATGCTTCTTCCTGCATCTACCAGAGAGAAGGGAGCTACTTCCACTACTTGTCTGGAAATAGAACTGGCTTCCTTTTGTTAGTTAACAGAAAGCCGGGAAGCTGTTTGATTCACTCCATCTGGCAGAGGCACTAAGAACTAAGGTAAACCAAAGACACGGGTTCTTTGAACACCATGAGAAAAGCATACAGTGATTTTCAGAGGACACGAGCAATCTCATCATTAATGCTTACGTTAAAGCTGAAATATGGGTAAATGTTAAAGATATGCCCTGCCACCAAGAAGAAATGTGACACAGCAAGAGGAAAAAGGGTAGTTTAAGTTCTGTTACCAGGTAATCGAGTGCTTATTTACTTCAGGCTTCATTTCAACTGAGCAACACCCACTGCACTGAAGCAACATCAGAAATCACACACAAGTGACAGAAGAGATACTTACGGGTAACACAGGAACAGGAGATTAAGGAAAGAGTAGGTTCTGAAAAGGTGAATTATTGATCGACACAAACTCCAGCCTGTGCCAGTGAGAACAGCAAACCGAGTGATCACCAGGAAAATAGAGCGTGGCAGGGAGACTTTGCCACTCTGTGAAGCCTGCAGGGAGAGAAGAAAGAGCTGGGCAGAGGGGAGACTAATTCACCCTTCCTACAGGAAGCAAACGGTAAATGAGCAGCACTCAATCTATAAAATCAACTTCATATGCATGAAGGAAAAGCTAGTGAAAGGCTCTGTTTGACTGCCATCAGGAAGGGGAGGCCTTCTGTAGGCTGGGATCTGGACTCTCCAAAACCCAGGGCCTCATTCCTCAAGCTGGAATGAGAGCTCTCAGAGCTCCTTGTTAAGGTCTGGTGGTTATCGGTGTGACCAGCCCACTCTCCTGGACCTGCTCACCACAGCAAGCTTCCACAGTCAGCAGAAACCAACCTTCACTGGTTCCTCCTTGCAGAAAGCTGGAGTAATCAAGAGAACAGGAAAAGAGCCAAATACTGTTCTTCACAAGGAAGAAAGCAGAATTACTACAGTCTACTTGGAGACAGTAATTCAGAAATAATCACAGAAGGACAGAGTCACAAGCAACGGTTTGAGGGGCTCATTTCTGTTCTCTGTTCTTCCCATTAGAAACCATGTTTAGGTTTCTAACTTGGACATAGCACAAAGTTCTTTAGAAAAGGACAGAAGAGTTTGGAACTGCAAAAGGGACACACAGCTTTACATTTTGCCTGAGAGGAAAGAACAGTTCCGAGATCTGCCTGGGGACTTTACCTCCTTCACAATAGCACCGATCAGCCGGCGTGCCAGGACAATTGTTGTCACCGTCAGCACGTTGAAGTCAATAAGATGAAAGTTCTGTGGTGACAAAAACAAAATGATTCCACTTTCCATCAGGCAGCAGAAACCCACATTCAACAGAGAAGCTCCCAAGTTATTCTCTTCTCCTCGGACTCTCTCTTCCAAGATCAGAAAGAGAATGCCAAGCAGTCAGCCAGTGCCCAAAATTTGCCAAATAAGAGTCACACGAGCAACCCTCCGGGGCTGTAGAGTCACATGCAGTTTTCATGAAACATACAGAGAAACCTTTGTCTAACGACCCAAGTGAGTGTCTGTGAGTGTCACTGGACAGCAGCTGTCCTTTGGTGCTTACCAATGATGTGTGCGAAGGTGGATGGGAGGGTGGATACCACCACACAGTTTTGTAGATGTTGATGTAGTGGACAAACAGAGCGACGAGATGACAGAAGAAGAGCTGAAGTTCAAACAGCACACTCCTCTCCACAGGCAGCTCTGGGATCTTACAGTGCCGGAGGGGGACGACTGTCTGAGTTGCCAAAGGTGGGCTGGAAAGGCCTGTACCTGAACCGCTCCTACCAAGGTAAACCAAAAGCCAGGGGTCACTTCCCCGAGATAAACACAGCGCTGTCCTCCAGCCCACATCCTCAGAGTGTAGAAGTCAGTGGTCTAATATTGACTGAGAAATCTGACTACCATGGGCTGTGGCTGCCGCAAACCAGAAGTGTCAGCACCCCAAAGATGTCTAGGACAACTGTTACAGGCAGATGTCAGCAGGAATTTGCCCAGCGAAAGCAATATTTGGAACCCGGCCAGTCTACAGCACCAGGTCATTTGGTATTAAATCCCTTGTGTTGAGTCAGGTTCAAAAGCCGTGGCTGTGTTTTGCTATTCAAGGGGCAACCAGTGGCCCTCTTAATTAATTGGAAGATTTTAGGCCTTGAGTTGCTATTTACATTTCTAAGAGTGCTTGAACATGAAATACAGAGCAATTAGACACAAGCCCTTTCTCATTCTTCAACTTCTATTCAACTATGGAGGAAAAACAAGTTTAGTCAGAGGTGCATATTCCTGTGTGAGCACGCACACAATCCCAGACAGCAACCCTTTTAATCAAAGGGAAGGGAATGAATATATACTAGATATATCTCTCCTGATTTGCAGTCTCTAAATAACAACAGTCAAAGGAATCTGGGTGTGGGTTTCAAAGGAACTACAGAGCACAAACTCCTATTGAAATCCCAAAACAAAACCACAAAAGTCTTGGGAGTGTGACTGCAGAAAGACTTTTAGCCCAGGGGTGGACACAGGTGGATCAGTCCATGGTTTTTAAAACAGAAGGCTGACAGGCTAAAATAAGGCCATGTGTGAGGGGAAAGCTTTAGGAACCTGAGTTGCCTCTCTGAAATCTGCAGATTCCCAAGCTGGCGAGACTGATTCAGCTCCTCAGGATGGATAAATCCACCAATAAACTGTTCCTGTACACAGAACATGAGTTCTTGTGCTGATGCTACAGAAAATGATTTTAAATATAAAGACAAAAGTCTTTTCTGCTTTGAACAGACACAGGACACCTAACAGCAGCGACAAGGCTCTCATTCGCACAAAGCATAAAGCGCTTTGGACTGTCGTGTAGGCGATGGGTATCAGAGGGCAGGGCTGCAGAGACAAACCACTTGCAGGTAAGCTGGGGTGTGGATTTGTACTGCATTGCCTACTTGTGATAAAGACCTTTGTGCACGTTCTCAGAGCAAAGTATGTACAAGGTGGATTGCTCCACCTTCTGTGGCCTTGCAATAACTTGTCTGAATAACTGTACCCTTATAAATTTCTTGGCCTAGGGCCGTAAGCAGGGAGTATGTTAAGACATTTTCTTTGCAGAGAGTTCATAAGGTGCATCCTGCTTACGCACTGCTGTTGGTGCTCTGCTTCTCCTTCCTCCTCTCTACCTCAGTCACAGAAATGCAACCAACCAGCTAGGCTAGAACCTGAAAAAAAAACCCGCAACCTACACATCACCTGACCTAGCTAAGCTCTCCTCCAGAAATGCCTCACCTGACATAAACTTCAGGGCACAGGAGACACAACAACCTGAACTCCACAGTCAAGCTTTGAATAAAAATTTGTCTCTATTCTTGTATTCCATTCAATGGTCACCAAAGGCTTTTGAACACTCCTGGAAGTCTGTCACAGTCTGACAAAGCACTTAACAGTCTCGGGCAAATCAGAACCCACCTATCCCAATTACAACATGTATAATGGTCACCGCCACGTATAGAAAAAGGATTTCAGCTAGACACCGGGAGTTAACAAATTGCTGAGCCACAGGAAAACCAGCAGTGCGTGAGATGGGGAGATACAGGTGGCCTCACACTGCCCCCCAGGAGGAGCAGCTGGCCTGGCTAGATGTGCAGATGTGGAGAGAGGGACGTACCTGGTGCGTGAGCGCACACCCGTGACAGAGGAACTCGTGGAGTGGCCGGAGCCGCCAGCAGCCCCAGGTTCACAGAGGGGATTTCGGCAGTAGGATGTGCGGTTAGGGCCCCGCCTTCCCCCTGCCATAACAACAGAGGGTGCGGAGGGCTGTTCTTCCAGGTGGCTTCTCTGCTGTTCACTGCGTGATTATGTCTTCAGTCCTTAAAACTAAAAGGAAAAGATTTATATTTAAGGCTCATTTGCTTACCACGCCCCTGGTGAACAGCAGGAACCGATCACTCCTGCTGCCAGCTTGCAGCAGGATAACGCAACTTTGCTCAACCCTTTCCTACATCTCCTGTATTTGCCACAGGCTATAGATGCGGCCCCAGATAGCTCCCAATTCTCCTACGACATGCAGCAGCTTGTTAAGGTGCTGCAAATTCAGTGAGTCTAAAGTCTAATGCATGCAGGCTTCCACAGGAGCAGGAAGAAGCTTTTCATGGCTCTCTCCCAACGGAAGGCAGTTTACAAGGTACTTAATCTGCATCGCTGTGGTGTTATCCCTGTTTTACAGGCAGAGCAATACACTTACAGAGATGCTAAACAATTTGCCCAAAGGATTCAGTAAACTGGGGATATCATCCAGGTGCCCTTTTGCCCAATTTTGTGCTAGAAAGTACACAAATGGGCTTTTTCCTTTTTTGCTCCTTTAAGATGGGAAAAAAATAATGAGCATTTTTAGGGCATTTGTTGTTGTATGTTTGTACGGCACAGAGCTCAACGGGATGTTAGCCCAAAGTTAGCTTTTCTCATGCTTGCTTGCTACAGTGTAAACAATAATAATACCAATGTTTGAAAAACCTTCTTTGGATCCTGTTTAGCGTTAGGAAAACCTACACAACTTAGAGAAAGGACAGGGTGATAATACATTTACTAGAAGTGAAATCTGAGCTGTGAAGAAACTCAGATCAGGTCTTATCAATTGCTTAACATTTTTTTTTCTGATTGCTAATTTCCAGTTGCCATCACTTAGCAATTAGCATCTGGAGTAAAAAAAAAATAAAATTGCTGAAGGCTTAGACGGCTCTTAAATGAGTTTTAAAAGCTTACGCTGCGCTCTAGAGTCCTCCAGCAAACTGCTGTTCTAGTCCCAGACAATGAGGGACAGGGTGCAAGGGGGCTGCGCCTAGGTCTAGCCCCAAGAAAAGCAAAAATACCCCGAGATTGGTGTCATCACACAGGCCAAGGGGGCACAGAGGTGGCTGCAGTGCTGGGGGAACTGCAGGGATGCAGAGCAAAGGGCAGAAACCCCAGTATGTGCCATGGCACACACAGTCCTGGGGACACAAGAATAACTGGTGGTGAACAGGAGGGGCTGTGCACAGGGCTCCCCCCAGGATATAATACCTGGAATGTGTGTGGGGGGCACCAGATGGACAGGACCTTGTAGGGAGGTGAAGACAGTGGGTTTGAGGCCCAGGACACCACGAGAGAGACTGAGAGGGGAAAAGTGGTAGGGTGAAAGTGTTGGGCCTGGGGAGAGAGCTGGGGAGTTTGGAGGGGCACACCTGGGAGCTACAGGAGTGCAGGGGCTGCAGGCGCTCGGATGGGGGCTCTGAAGGAGCAGTGGTGGCTGTGAGGGCACAGGCCAGGAGCTGTGGGGTCTACAGAGGTGCAAGCAGGAGCCACAAACACTCCAGGGGTGCAGGCAGAGGCTACAGGGGAGAAATGAGAAATCTGGGGGCACAAGTGGGAGCTACAGAAGAGCGGTGGGGGAGCCACAGGGGCTCTGGGGGAGCAGTAGGGGCTGTGAAAATGTAACAGGGGCTATAAAGGCCCTTGGGGAGCAGGCCGGGGCTGCGGTGGAGCAGTGGGAGCTTGAGGAGCGCCGCGGGGGCTGTGGGCTTGCAGGACGGGCCACAGGAGAGCACCGGGGGCTCTGCAGACCCCACCGGGGTACACGAAACGTGTCGGGGGGCATTAAGAGCTCCGGGGGGGGGGGGGGGGGGGGGGGGGCCTCTCCCGGGGCTCTACGGGAGCACGCACCCAGGCTACAGGGAGAAACGGGGCTACCGGGGCAGCTTCGGGGGCTCCGGGCCAGGCCGCGGGAGCCGCCCCCCTCACAGCGGCGGCGGGGCGGGGCCAGCTGTGGGCTCTCCAGCGCCCCTCTCCCCCCCCCCCCCCTTCCCCCGTTTTTCCTCCACCACGTTCCCCCGCCCGCCCCAAGCCCCGGTGCCCCGGTGCCCGGCTCCGTCCCGCCGCTCGGCCCCCCTCACCCATCTCCGGCCGCCGCTCAGCCTGCGCCGGGCACAATATGGCGGGCGGGGCCGGCGGCGCGATGGCGGCCGCCAGCGGACAATCCTCCTGCGGGGCGCGCGCGCGAACCGCCCAGCCACGCCCACCCCCGGTACGGCCACGCCCACCCCCCGGTACGGCCACGCCCCCGAAGCACTTCGGGCATTTTGAGGTCCCCATCGCCCACCCTCCTGCACCCCCCTCGGGGCAGAGCTGCTCCCACCCCCAACTCCATCTTCCCCTAAACAGCAACTCTGCAGCAGACAGACAAACAACCGAAAAAAAAAAACCAACCCCCCAAAAAAACCCACACGCCTCTGAAAACCGAAAAAAAAAATAAATATTCAACGTTAGGCCTTTATTATAGGGAATGACTAATCACTTCCAACATCTGTTGAACACTTCTTGCTAAATACCAGCCACAGAAGAGCCTGCCAGTTTCCCATACAAGTTATTTTAATGCTGTGATTCACCTTGATCAGTTTTCACCATCTTTACCAACCACTTGCAGTTATTTTTTATCGATTTCCTCAACTTGTGGGTGTTTGATGCTTCAGTACAGATGGAACATTATACAATTCTGAGAACCTGGGCTGGAGGCAAAGCCATCTCTAAAAGTAATGAACTTTCACAGGGCCAATCTCATTTCTTACTAGTTTTGAAGTCTACATTGTGCAGAGCCATCAAAAACCAGGAGTATCCAGACACCTGTGGTTTTAACACAATCTTCCAGGGACAGCTTATAAGGGCAATGGGTAGAATGTACTGATATCACGTTAAAAACAGCTTTGAATCTGTAACACCGCGTACGAGCCTTTGGGCATATTTGGTTCTAACACCAGTGGTAAAAGTAACAGCCTCATTGGAAAACGCTTTATATTTCAGTACTCCAACACGCGGTTGCTGCTCTCCAGCGTTTGCAGCAGCCAAGGGAGGCTCCACCGTTTTCCACCACTCACCAAGAGCTGGCAGGTTCCCGTTTCCCAGCTACAGCAAAGTGAACCGCGTCTTAACTGGGTTCCTGTATCAGATCTGAAATCATCTCGTCGGAGAGTCATCCCGCTTTGCAAAAGGAGCAAAATGAGCGCAGGAACAAACATTTCTATTAAAACATATGGTAGCAGTGGAAGGCTCAACAGCAATAACAGCAAAGGTTTCTGCTCTGTGCTCACAGGAACTGAGCTTCCCGAGTTGAAAAAAAGAGGAGTAACATCTACATTCGAGATGGGAGTTCCCACGGGCCCTGACTAGCCTGCAGAAATTCCTCCCCCTCAAAGCTTACAAATGGGGCATGTGTCCAACATCTCATCCAAGATGTTATAGGTTTATCAATTAAAGAAGAATTTCCCTAAGCCCTGCCTTCCTCCCCAAAAGCACCATATGTATGTGTTCCTCGCAGCTGAGGGAAGAGCTGTGTTAGCAGCACCGCCTGCTCTCCTCTGCATCTCCCAGCAGATGGGTCACAGCTGGTCCCTTCTCCTCTGGGGTCATTTGGGGGGGGGAATCTCTCCCAGGCTGCAGGAATCCCCCTCTGCCCAAGTGGGTTTTAGGAGAGCAGTGGCATGGGGTGAGGAAGGGAAGAGCCACACGTTTAAATTGTTTTTCTTGGCTCTGTTCGTGACAGATGCTCTCATACAAATTTAAAAACTCATTCTGCACAAAAAGAATCATCTGCTTTAACAGCCAAACAGGGAATCCAGCTGTGCTTTTAAACCCAACTTGCCAAATATGGAATTTTACAGAGGACCATATCAAGGTAATGTCTTAGCCTTACTGAAAGCACAGTGTTTTAAGTTAAACATAAAAATACCATAGGTAAGTTATAAATAAAGCTTGTAGCCATTTGCTTTATTTAATAATCCCAGCAGCAACTTGAAATCAGGGTTAAAGAACAGGCAGTATATGACAGTCTCTTTCCAGGAAAAGCTGCTGGGGACATTTCTGTAATACCTGTTGGAGTGTTTTTTCTGCAAGCTGATTCACACTTGCTGCTGTCCAAGATACTGGCTATGAACCACTACGCATGGTGAGACCTCACCGAGGAAGTGTAAAGTCCAGGTTTGTATCAGCTCCAAGTAAGGCCAGCCTGAGTATTTATACCAAAGGGCTGAACTAGAGGCTGAAGAAGCTGGAGCTGCTCAGAGCAAGGGCCAGAGAAGATGGGACTACTGAGGCACAGAGCGATGTGCAGCAGGAGGATGTTTCTGGAGCCAAGTTTCTCTTGAAAAGAACAGTATTGTTGGGAAACACTTCCACAGAGGAGACGTGACTGCTGCTGTACATCACACTGTACAGTAACCAAGCACAATGGGGGCCTTTATCTTGTTTATGGTCTCTACCAAAATCCTATAAATAATAAGATGTGGATTAGTCTTTTGGGGAAATCAGGAGATGAAAGATCACTGGCACTTGTTAGCTCACAGCCAGCTATCTCCAGTGGCTACGCGTCAGTAGAAAAGGGAAGGTTATTTAGGTGACTCAGACTTCAGTACTCAAAGGAATTTTTACCCCTCACAAATTTCAGCGAGTCCTGTATCACCCCCGGAACGTCTGGCTAATTAGAGCATCTTTGAGAGACATATCCGATGCTGACGGCTATTTTGGGATCTCAAATTAGCTTTTGTAGACTCAAGGCTAAAATCTGAATGTAGTAATGCTGTGAGAGGGAGGAAGATGTTTGACGCAGGGCATGTTTTCAAAATACTTTTGGCTTATACAGTTATTTTCAATATCTTAAGATTTACATTCCTCCATAACATGAAAATCTTTCACATAAACATGCAACAAATGCAATGCACAAGCAAGCTGTATTACTCCAAAGGCAGTGTCACAAGATCCACTTCTACTGGTAAAAAACTGCATCATAATAGATGATCTCTATCAAATCTTTTCCACTTGATATAAAAGCTGTGCCTATTAAGAAAGAAATGGGAAAGATTGGTACAACACCATATAAATTGATGTTCCAATTACATTGTAAATGAAGATGCATTCGATAAACAGGCCACAAATCCAGACATGTTATGATTTCCCCTAGCAGAAAACTACAGATCCCATTTTCAAGTTAAAGTCAAAGAATTGAGGATGATCTCACTCTGGTGCAGCATTTCTTGTTCCTAATACTCCCAAGATAAGAGAAACTCGTTTGGTAGCTTTATAATTTCATATAAAATAAGACTTATGTCCTTCAGTGTCCTATGCCCAGGGCTTTTCACAGTTGTTGTTTGAAGCCAATAGACTTCTTCAACATTCCAAGGGTTTATTTCTTTGTTCTTCTATTTATGGAGCTCAGACTTTCAGTGATCTTGAGATTTGAGAGAAAGTGATTAGCTGTCCCCAAAGGAAACGCTTACGGCCGCTGCCTTTGGGCCTGGGGGGAGATGTGTCCTTGCTGTGTAAGCAGGTCACTCCACTGATGCATGATAATCTCCTCAACCAAGGTACAGCTCGGTTTGCAAGCACTTGCGTGCATTTTTTTTTTTTTTTTAAGGTATTTATTGGAAAACAAGAAAGTCAGCAGAGCCAGAGCAGCCGCCAGAGGGAGCCTGGCCGCTGTGGGTGCTGAACTGGCACCAGCACCCAAAGGTGCTGGGGGTCTGTCACCCCTCCCGAGGGCTCTGAGCTAAACCTGTCCTAGCCAGTCTGGCAGGACCACTGCCCGAGATATCTTTGGCAAGACATCAGCAAAAAAGAAACCATAAAGAAGGAGCAGCCAGATGATATTTCAGAGCCCAGCAACTGGGGTGTGGAAGGGGTAGAACTAGCGAGGTGCAGCTGGGTAGCGTCTGGTCTAAAATCTGCAGGCTGAAATTTTAATGCCTTATTGGCTCAGAGAGGAATTCCTACTGAGCTGTTCCTCGGGCTGCTCTGTTTTGAGGGCATGGTGTAACAACTTCACCACCACTCCGCTGCTGAGAGAGCTCTCATGAGGCGCAGCATCTCAGCTGGGAACCAGCTCCAAGAGACAGACCTTACCACATTTCCCCCTCTCCTCAAATCCACTCAAACCTCCTTCTCCATGGGATCTCAGTGGGAGAGCTCTATGCAGGTACATACTGAAGCCTCCTCCACACCATGACCTCTGCAAGAGTGTCAGTCATGTAACTGGCCTTTTGCAAGAGTAATTTATTTGTGGGCATATAAAGAATGGCTTCAATTTAGCAGCTCAGATGGTGCCGCCCCCCATCTCCTACACAGAACACGGTAGCAGCTTGCAACGGGTTGCAAAAATAAACAAACTTACCCACTTCGTGTTGCCCCTGCTCATCTTCACCCAAGTGATTCATAGCGATGTACTCTTGACTCCTGCAAATTGAAGACATTTGTGAGTCTCTTAATGTAAAGCACAAATCAAAAGAAAAAGATTCCTGCATGCAATTACACAGGAAGGAAAACATGCAACTTAAGCTGAGCTTTGAACATTTCACAGTAAATATCAATACTGGGGTCTAAAAAGGGCCATCATTTTACATTTTTAAATAACTGAGCAGAATTTTTTTTTTGGCAGTAGCAGGACTATCTATATTCGTTGTCATTTTACATCTTTTGATATTTAAGCTTGCCGATTCCTTTTTGCCCACATTACATTACAGTGCATTTTCAAAGGGCACATTATTAAAGTTATTGCTAATTTATGCAGAAGCATGTGGTTTTTTTTAAATGTTTATTTTAAACATTTTTTGCAAATTTTTACATTAAAATTAACATCTGAAGAATTGTTTCAATAAAGTTTATGCAAGTTGCCGTCACAGTTTATGTAAAAGAGAAATGTGCTATTAAAATCAGACATTTAGGTTACCTTTTGGGTTTTGCGATGCATGTTAGCTTTACACATCCTGATTCTCCTGCGATAATTTTCCTTTAAAAGGGGGGTATAGGGTGATCTTTTCATCAAGCAAGACATTATGCCCTGAAAGCTGACTCCAAACCATTGTTGAAAATTCAGTTATTTACACTTTAATAACAATCTACAAATACAACTTTTTGTTTTAAAGTATTCCCCTCGATCATGCACTGCTACAAGCAGTTTGGTTCCTAATGCTCTATTTTTCACCCCCGAGCAGTTTAATTCTCTCCCCCTGGAATGCCAGATTCATTTTGCAGATGGGAAACACAAACCATTTTTCATGTCTCTCTAAGCAGCAGTTTACTTTAAACTATTATATTATATATCTGTACATACACACCCTCTCAGAAGGATATGAGGAGCAACTGCAGCACCCTTCTCAAACAAAGATACATTTTTAAGTGGCTTTCCAAGTAAAGGCTACTGTAAAGTAGGAAGGGCATCATCTTAGCCAAGGGGGTTAGGGCTGTTTACATAAAGCAGAAAGCAAGCTTCCTTCTCCTCCTGGTGGCAGCTAAGCCTTGGATTTTTCAGCATTCATTTTGTCACGCTATGTTTAAACCAGCCATTTCAGACTCAATCTGGAGTCTGCAGTCTGGAATACTCTGTGAGGCCACCTGAAATCTGAATCAGTAATTCAGTAAAGAACCATAAACACTTTCCAGCAGACTGAAGTCAGATTTCTGCCATAGTTCAGGATCAAACTGCTTTCAACAACTTCCAGGGGGTGAAAAACAATTTTTCTTTCTTTCTTTTTTTTTTTTTTAAAAAAAAAATTAAGCTCGTTCAATGAGCTTGATAAACTTTTTGTGATAATTACAAAAAACACCATTTTTAGAATGTCTCCATGTTTTAAAAAGACAATTAGCTTTAGCATTAATTTAAATTTATTTGAAAAAAAAATAGCTATTTTATTGCTCAACAAAAAAAATGACAATTCATCACATTTACTTTGATTAAAAAAGGACTAAACTTTATTGACAAACTGCGGCAGACATTTTGACAAGTTTTAGCTACCTATTTAGGCAGACTTACACATGTAGCATTTAATCTTCAAGAACAGAGTGGGAGGACAGTGTACAAATCCAATTAGGACTTTATCCTATGTACAAAGTGAAATTTTTCCTCATTTTTTCAGCTGCAGTGTCCCTTTTTATGCAAAGCTAGTGTTGAGATACACTTGAACAAGTCAATGGGATTGCTAATATTGACAATTTTGTCACTTTTAAACTTGCACTGTATTATCTGCCCCAAGCACTATAAAAAATGAGAAAACTGTAATTTTACAGAGTTCAGAGACCTACTCACGTAATATTCTGTTTCTAATATCAAACACTGGGCAATTAGAGCCATGCTTTAATTTGTTTTTCCCTTAAAAGTTCTTCATATAGAACCAAACTAAGAACCCCTTTACACTGGAAAATCCGCTTCCCAAGCATCTCTCAACACCGCATGTTCGGGGCTAGATTTCAAAACCCACATAAGAAAAGTCAATTTTACAAACCTAATTTTTTTTCTTTTAAGTCAATTACCTTTAAAAACATGCTATTTAATTTGTTTGAGGATCCTTCGTATTAAGATTTAAACTTAAGATTCACCAGCAATCTGCTTTTAAGGAAAGTTTGACATCTGAGGTTACTTTTAAACGGTGGCAGCTACTACCGTTACAGTCTGATTTTAATTCTTAAAAACAGCCCTGAATTTTGAAATGTAGCCTACTTTGGGATTCTGCAACTACAACTTTTATGGGTTCCTTAAAACCAAGCTTAAAAGGTTAACAAAACCTTAATTTCATAACTGCTAAGCAAAGCATGTCACTTTTGAAACTAACATTTTTAACTCAACTTTTTTTTTTTATTAAAAAAGGTACAGTTGTGTTTATCTAAACAACAAAGAAAGAAAAGCCATCTACACACTTAAAAAAAAAAAAAAATTAAAGTCGGTCCTCTAAATCTATTTAACTCATTTTAAAATACTACGTACAGAAGCCAGAATGCAGGGTGAGGATGGAGTGGGAGAAAAAGGGCCACGAAGAAAAACAGTTAGACAATTACTTGTCTGGTGTGGGTAAAGCAACGGGAATCCCGGGAGATACAAGAATCAGTAACAACTGTTTGCTCATAACTGATATTTTTCCCTCATGTTTGTTTTTTAATAACGTCCGTATGGGTGCTCTCTGTAGGCCCCCTTCACTGGCCTGGCCGGCGGGGCCTTCAGGGAGGGCCTGGTTCCGTTCCAGTCATCTTGCCCTGCGGAAAAGAGAGGGAAACGTCAGGGATGGCGGAGCGCTGTGAGGGGAACAGCTGTGCCGGCTGGACTCCCCTCCGGAGTCGACATGGAGGCACGGGGCATCTTCACAGCGGTTTCACTCCAAAACCAGGCTGCAAAACGCCCCGCGGTTCCCCAAAACCTCTCGTTCGCAGCACGTCTTCCGACGCTGCAGGAAAAAGGCCGCTTGCGTGGGAACTCTGGGAGGGCTGCAGCTCCGACAACCCTGCTAAGCGCCGACTTGGACAAACCTGGTGCCTTTTAGGAGTAATTAATTTCAGCAGAGCCGAAGCCAATTCACGGGGCAGCTCTGGCCGCCGGCCCTGGCGAAGGTCGCAGCAGTCACGGCCCCTTGGGCTGGCGGCCAGCAGCATCTTTAACCCCGGGGTCTGCCTCGGCGGGGAACTGCTGCAGGTAGCGCTTCCCTCCTTTCCAAACACCAGGTAAAGCAGCTCCTGGGTAACTGTGCCAAAATAATTAATTCCCCATGCTGCTGTAGGACAGCAGCGCGTCCAACTGGACTTCCAGACACCAGTCTGCTTTCTGACTGTGACTTGCTGTTCCTTCCCCTCCACGAATACAGGAAAATTTACAGCCGCAGCTCGTGTAGCATCTGCTTGCCTCTTCAGAGCTGACATCCCTTGCTAGTTAGTGCGGTACCAGAATTAACTGCTGACGGGACAAAGCACTCGACGGGACAGCCCAAACCCTTCTGCTACATACAGCCACCACCGAAGCAAATGAAGTTTGCATCCCCATTGTCCTCGAGCTAGCTCAAGCCCCAAATATCCAAGCTCAGCTTTCATTATGGCTTGTGCTTGCAACATTCATACTTGCATGCCTGCCGTTCTCTCCAGGGTCACCAGTTTGTGAAAGCAAGTGTCCAAAGCCCGGAAGACAGCCGAGCCTGTTCCTACCACCATGGAGCACGTTCCCATTTTCTCAAAACTGTCTCCAGCCTGGCTCAACAATTTATTTCTCTAATTCTGTTTTCATGAAAGCAGAGACCAAAGGAAATTACTGTGGATAAACAGATTAGCTGTGGCAACTTCATGCCAAGTATACAATGAGCATTTTGGCCTTCACATCCCAGACAACACCACCGCTCTCCTACCAAGTAGGAGGCACAAAAGCCTCTTTGTGCTGCATGACTAACACAGGCAAACCAAGCCATTGAAGGCAGGAGAGACAGCCAACGGTTACTGACAGCAGCTGTCTTTTCAAATGCATCTCAGACTGGAAAAGCATCCCTGGTTAGGCACCTGAATCTGAACTTCTCACAACTTAAGCCCAGAGCAGGGAACACCCCGAGGCTGGCACAGGAGACAGCCACCGCATTAACAACCCTGCTTCCTTAATACCAGCATGACATGGCACAGGGGGATTCCCAGTTCCTGCAGATCCCAGAAAGCCCCTCCAGCTGGCCATTATCGTCACTACCTGCACCCATTCACAGCTTCAGGCAACCGATGCTCTGCTAAAGGGACTGTGCAATACAGCATGTTTCCATGCCATTAAGCAGCTTGCCGTATAGCTTTCATAACTGTTTATAGTCTAGATTGTTTACAGAGAGAGGATAATTAATATTAGACATTACCACATGCAGACGCCATTCATAAGCTTGGATAGCTGAACTAGCATTTAGAAACAACCCACCACAGTCACCCAATCCTTTATTGCCAGAACCTCAGGTAAGGCCTATTGTTTTCAACAGTTGATTATTTACAGTTGTGGTTAAATTGGTCTCCCGCACCCCTCAGTCTAGCCTAAGTTGATAGCTTTACATAATTAGCTAAACTTCACAGGCTACTCGCAAGTTATATCGACCAAAATTGTTCCACCAAGTCAAAGGGAGGCCTTCATATGACATTTAAATTCATTTTTCAAGCAAATGTATAGCGCAGAGTCAGTAACAGCTAGCAGGTTTTTGAGGATATGGAAGCAGATGGAACCATGCTCATCCAACTCAACAAAATATAATCCGTGAAAACCAGACTGCAGCAAAAGTAGTGCTGTGGGTGGAAATCCAGAGCTCTTAATATATTCTAAAGCTACAAGGAAATGAAAAGGTATTTCCATAGTTAAAAAATGGAATTTTAAAAGTGTCACCTTTGAGACAATCAAGCTAGATAAGAACCTATAAACCACAGAATGCCTTCAGTTGGTCAGACCTGCATAATCTGTAGGATATAAATATTCTACCATGAAAACTACTGGAGGTTCTCCTCAGTAATGTTTTGCTCAGAGCATGGAGTGGCACTGGAAAACAGCTGGTGGACCACAAGCAATTCCCAACTATGTGCAGCCCCTTTCCCTGTCAAGAGAACAGTATTCCCAGACATACCATAAGCTTCATAGGTTTCCTGTGCCTCCCCGTGTCCATAATCATAGTATTCTGTGTCCCTGGAAGAGTAATTATGTTGGTTACATACAGTGCTGAAATCGTATCCTTAAACTGACACAACTTGCACAAACACTTGAAATGCAAAGATGCCCAATATTGCTCATGGCTGTGGTGTGTCTGATCACTGATTTTACAGAAATGTCAAGCACACTGGGACACTCCCAAAAGTTATTTCCCAGGCACCCCTGGATTCCAGCAGAATAGGGCATTTTCCCTATAGCTCATACTCTGACATGAGTGTTTCCATTCCCTTAGAAAAGAAAAAGAAAAAAAGCTCATGCATAATCTTCTTAGTAGCAGATAGGAGACAAGCGAACTTACCCTTGGCCCTGGCTGTAGTAGCCTTCATACCCCTCATAGCTCTGGTCTGCATATGCATCATCATAGCCCTGAAACGGATGATGACATAAACAGTGTTAATGGAAGGACCAAAGGTTAATGCCTGACCAAAAGTAACGGCAAAACTGAATTCAGGCTATAGCAGCTTTCAGAGGAGCCTGTGAGTCCTTGCCTGCCACAGGGAAGGGGCTCAATCGTAAGACATAGGTAGACAAGATCTGCTCGTGTCCTGTGCTTTGGGAGGAGTTAACCACATCAATATTTACAATTCACTTGAAAGTCATTTACATGTCCAAGGCTGCAGTTTGTCTGCGGTACAAACCCATGTGCCAGGAGGCCTGTAACTGCGTTATCTAACCCACAGATTTACAAGTAGACAAAACCCAACCTGTTAACTTATGACTGGTTTCAGAAGAAAAAAATTAGAAGTTTTACCAAGAGGAGAAACAGACATTTTAGATATATCAATGTTTGTGATGATTCCAGAAAATGCTGTTGTGCATCAAAACTAGTTGTCTTGTTTTTCCCTTTATGAAAACAAGAGCACAAATGCCGAGATAAGCTTGGCAGCAGGGTGGTGCTTAGTTACAGGACTTGAAACATCACCATGTCCATTCATGTATTTACTTTAAGGATTTTAGGGGCAGTAAGAAATCTCTGGTGTTTCTCGCTCAAAGAATTCTCTTGCAAATGTGATGTGAACCACATCGATCTTTGTGACGTAGTTTTTCTACAATACACTGACAGTTCTGGCAAACTTCAGTCTTGGGGGTACATTTCATTTTTATAAAAACCACCCCCTTTTCTCTGTATTTAGGACACTAGCAGTTCCCTTTGAGGACTAAAGAGGCAGAGCATGTCACCCAGCACCATACCAGTGTTTGCACTGGTGGTCACTTCTCCAGAGCAATCTTACTGTCATTCACCCTCGTTTCGATAATGTTGAGTATCTAATACATGGTCAGCTAGCTGGAATTTAAAAAAAAAAAAAGATATTTTTCTTACGTATTCCTCATAGGTTTCTGGTGCGGGAGGAGGAGGAAGCGGTATTCTCTGAATGCCAGCTGCACGTGCTCTGGGTGCAGGAGCACCCCGTACTGCTGGGGGAGGAGGAACTCCGCGGGCTACAGCGGCTCCCCTGGCAATGGCACCCCGCACCGGGGCTCCTCGCACAAGGGCCCCCCGAGGAGGAGGAGGCGGAGGAGGCGGCCCAACACCACGGCCCCTGGAAAGGAGATAAAAAGGGCTGTGAACAGCTACTGCTGTACTGCTCCTGTGCTGAACACTGAGGGCAGCGCATACGCTTCTTACACCTACTTTAAAATGCAATAGCTTGATAAGACAGTCACCATTAACTAAGCTGTGAATTCTTTATCAAGAATGAAAGTGCAAGAATTGTTAACACTGTGGTATTGCAGGATTTACAAAAACCTCTTCTGGGATGAGAACCCTACTGCAGTACAAACAAAGAAATAAATCTGATAAAGAACTCTGGCCAAATAATTTCTCAGAGTTCATTTTAAACAACCCTCTATCACTAACCTCTAATGGCTGCCAGACCTCCAGGGCTGTAAAGACCAATGGTGAGAGGAGCAGGGGCACTTTTGGGCTAAGCAGTCAGAAGCAAAGACTTTCCCCCCACGAAACAGGTAGTGAAGCAAGAACTATAGTAGCAAGAACTATACTAACAGAGTTTTATCACCAATTTATCCCAATGCCTTGACAGCAATGACAGAACAATGCCATCCTATAACTTTCAAACAAAGGTCAGTTTAAACTGAAAATGCTTATTCTGCTGAAGGCTACAGAAGCAAACATGACACATCAATCTACACGATTTCATAGGCCAATTTTTGAAAGGTTACTTTATGAAGCTACTGATTTCAGACACCAAAAATAATACAGAAAACATCCACTGCACTAGATTACACCTCAGAACACACAAAACATTTGATGCCAGCTTGCTAAAAGCATCGCAACACAAGGCTTGAAAGCCTTGGCCAAAAGCCAAGGTCAAGGCCAATGGCCGATGTGCAAGAACAAGTAGCTTAACCTCATCTGGCAGGACAACTCTGAGCAAGGTGCAGCATTTCCAGGTCTGTGCTTTTGGGAAAGATACCTTGGAACAGGTGGAGGCGGTGGTGGAGCTGCTCCCCTTCCCCGCACAGGGACTCCTCGGCCACGAGTTGGCTCTGGTACACCGTTCAGATAGGAGAGCTCCAAGAATTGCTCCTGACAGATATCATCCATCATATCCTAAAGAGGGGAAAGAGTCAACTCCAAAGAATAGCTAACTAGCCAGTCTGTGCTCCAGGATATTACAAGCTACCGTGCTGGAATAAAAATAACCGGATAGTCCTAAATTAAAATCTGCTGGTTAGTTTTACTGGGATTTGCTCGGCAGGCAGCAGTGCACAACTGCCAGCCTGCTCCAAACGGGCCAAGGGCACACCACCTGCATGACTGGGAGCTGCACTGAGCACTCCCTGGTCCCTGGGGTCCCTCTCTCCTGGGGGTTCTGGAGGTATCTGATGGCCAGCAACCCAGGGATGCCAGCAAGATTTATTTACTAATGTTGTAGAGTTAGAGGTGAAGTCAGACAAGACATATCTCACCCCAAGCACCTCATAGCTCCCATTTAAAGGCGAGTGGCTGGCAGTGAGCCCACATAACAAAATCCTGCTGTGTTCCTGACACACTGAATGAACAGGATAGGATGCAGCCTGACAGAGTAAACACCCATTTGCAAATCCAGGCTGTCTTTTCAAATTCTTCAGAACACAGTATGTGTCTGGCTTCATGCATTTTTATCACCTCAGGGGATCTAGCTTCAGGAATTAGTACAGATCTCTGGTGACCCCGCAGAAGTCATCATACCCCTCCCCTCAACACACAGACAGGCTGGTCCTCACACCGAGGATCTTCACGATGCCATGGCAACACCACAAAGCAAGGAGACTCCTACCAGATGTGTCTTCACAGCACTGCTGGCTTCCAGAGTGACTTCTCCGTCAATTTTCACAAGTTTAACACATTGTTTGAAGGCAGCGATAGATAAGACACTTTAAATAGCAAGGCTGCACGCTTGCTTTAGCAAGCTGATGTTTTGTACATCCCAGGGCCTCCTTGAAGATGACCTCTTTCCTTCCAAGACACTTCACATGGCAATCTCTCCTCCTTTCTGTGTCAGACTCACAGAAATCACACAGTACCCACAAGCTTTTCCACACTTCCCTATTACCCACCACTCTCGGGATCCACCCGTCCCTGGTAGTTCAGGCAGAGTATCTGAGCTCCCAGTTTCAGCTGGAACACAGTGCCAGGGTATATTCAGCTCTTTACCTGCCAGGTCTCTGAAATACAGACGGAGCTAGCCAGAAGCAGGGAGCACTGTGTGCTGCTTTCCACGTTTGTTTTTGTCCTAACTTAGCAATCAACACTATTGTTTCAATAACATGCAAAAGACTCCTTCAGATTCTGCAGTTCTTGGAGTCAGTACTCTAGCTGGCACAAAATCAACATGAAGGTGATCATAAAGGTCTTACAAGGTTCACCAGTAAAAGACACCCACAAACAGAGAAGTGTCATCTGTATAAATGTCTGATGAACACAAATTCCTGCACATCATACACATTGAAAGCAAGAGAAATATTGATTTAACAGACATGACTCAAACTAGCTACAACACTGAATACTACTACCAAGCTGCCTGGGCAGTCACTCTTCTCATCCTCACACCAGCCCATTAGAGCACAGCAAACAACTCTGTACTTACAGTTCCTGATCTGACCAATTAAGTTTTCTAGCCAGATTTCTATGCTACAGTTCCAAGTCAGCGGAACCCATCCAAGAAATCTCTTCCATGCCAGGCATGGCTGAACTTACTCTCCCACTAAAACTGACACAGGGAGCTAGAGAAGCTACCCGGCCACCCCAGTGCCCACAGCTAGTACTGGGAGAGAAATACCTACTCCAAGTGTTCTATACAAATGCCTTGCAAGTGCATGTCTTTCTAATTACGGTTAGGTGAATAATACATGCCCTCATGCAATATTAATGGGGCTATCTTAGGCTGCCACATACACACTTAATACTTCAGGCTTCCTTCAGCTACACCAATTCCTGTAGCATGAGCTTTGCACCATGCAAATCTTACCCATCCTTATAGCCAGATTCACAACTCATCTCCCTCCTTCAAAAAGGAAAGAACATCAGTATACATACTGGAACAAGGAACTTCTTGACTTCTTCCATGGCGTGAGCCATCAGAGCATATGCTTCACAAGGGGGTCCAAAAACTTCAATGAAGACATGCAAATCCATATTTAGATGAGCATACTTAGGATCTCCCCCCTTACGCAGTTCTTCCTCCTGAAACAAAGCAGATTAGAGATTCCTAAAACTAAGTAAGATGTGGAGAAACTACTTTTCTTTTATCTGTTTTTCTACACCTTAACAGGAGGTGTCTGTAAAAGCATTTTGGCCAAGCCTGGACGCAGATCATGGTAACATACATGTAAGTATACAGCTTTATAAAAAGCCACATACAAGCAGTGCTCTTCCTCTTCTACACCACCTTTCTGCCAGAGGTGCTCTTTACCACCTAGTGAAGCCTAATGCCTCAAAGAAGCTTGTTCTTCAACTCTGCTCTCAGATATCTGTGTTATTCAGATGGTTTTAAGAAGCTACAAATAAGCTGGAAGTGTAAAAGCTTTTCATGCTGTTAAAATAAAAAGCTGAGTTAAGCCATAGGTCTGCTGATTGTTAGCTAAGTTTTGGGAGTAAGGAGAAAGAAAAAAATTTTCATTTTTTCTGCTCAAAACCACCTCCTGAGCACTATGTGATTCACTAAATATTACCAGGAACATATTGCTTCATCACCTTCAGTGAACCATGAGAATTTAGGGATTTCAGAGGCAACAGCTGGAAAAAGGATTTTTTTTTTTCCTTTTCTGGAGGGGAAACATTCCTTTAGTGAATGACTGGAATTAATTCTTATTTTATAAACTTTATACTTCACCTTTCACGTAAACATATCATCTCTTCATCCCAGGGTACAAGATATCTATCAAAAGGTGACTGGTCTCTAAGTCATGCTCAAAGAAAAACTGCATCACATTTCTGCCCCAACCAAGACTGCTCCCAACATGCATAGAACAATTAGGAAGGGTGATTTCCTACTGCCTTTGCTTTCGGATTTTAGTGGTTTAATCTGTTACAAAATACTTTGAGAATCACCGCTTCCCACAGCAATATGAAATGCATTAATATGTTTTCATGGGTAATGCCCTCACCTTTGCTTTATCTCGCATTGAACCCTTCCCAAGCACAGATATCTTAGCACCAGTTTCTTCCTGAAGTCTCTTGATGGTGTTGCCTTGAGGTCCCAAAATCTTTCCAACAAAATTGAACTGTAAGTGAATAAAAAAAAAAGGAAAAAATTAGTTCCAGAGCTCAGTAGCCTTAACAAAAGCCTTTCTGAATGTTATGCTGACTGTCAAAAAATTTAGCCGCTCCATTTTCTCTTCACCTTGAAGAAACACAGACCAAAAAATGTATAGGAAAATTTAAGTTCCAGAACATTCTTTGCATGAAAAAATGCTCCACCAGAAAATCAAGTAAAATTAACTCACATAAAGTGGCTAATTCTAACATCTACTCTCTGATAATTTTACAGGCAGCAAGTCTTAAGAGTTAAATGAGTTCTTAACTGTAAAACACAAAATTCTACATGTGAAAGTGTCTATTCTAGTACTAAAAGATCACAAGTATGCATCACCATTTAGCTTTATCCCAAGACATTCTAGAAATGTAATACATTAGAAATAAGATCCTGGAAGCTTGCATAGGAAAAAATCTGTAGCGATAGTGGAACACTGGCATAACTCCTGATGACACTTTGACAGGTACTATCTCTAAAAGTCAGCCATAAAATCCACAGAAAATAAGCAAATCACAGAGATTCAGTAAGCTCTTTTCTGGCCCTCACCTTAGGGTACTGTTTGACAGGTATCAGAACTCGTTCTTTCAGTTTCATATTCTTGTGGGAAAATAAATCCAGGTAGTTCTCTTCCTCATCCTTCTTTGTTGTTTCACCCTTCTGAATTTTTTCAATTTCTAAACAAGATAAAAATAGGGCTGCTTATATTCCTCAAACAAGAATCATTTTTAGAGCTGGAATTATGACAGGACATACCACCCTCATTCTCTGTGAATATATGAACACTTATAATTGCATTAATGGAATCTGGATAGACAGGCCACTGCTTTAGTGCTAGCCCAGCTTGCCCCTTCCTCCCTTCACATCTAGGGATTCTAGAAGGCCAAAAATGGGATAACAAACAAAAATAAGAACAAACAGCAGAGAATGCCCTACAAATCACTTCAACAGGTAAGAGTAGGAAACTGTAAGTACAGTTTTGCATATCGCTTCCGCTATGCCTTTCTCTATCAGTCCCCAGCCTCCTTCTTCTACCGCGAATGCAGCACCCACGTATAGACCCCTAAACCTACAAAGAAACCAGTCCCAACTTCACTGACTGTATATGCTTGCTATAATGCAGCAGCCATCAGCAAATCAGGCAAGTTATTATCATTCAAGCTGATGCACTATTTTAAATCTGTAATTTAATTAGTGGTGCCAACACAAACTGACACTATGAATTTCAGTTCAGTTAAAAACATTCCTAATAAGCAGAAGCCCAAATGAGTGGCACAGTAGAGCACAGTCTGGCTTATGAAATTCTCGTAAGATTAATTTCATGAAATGAATGCATCTTTATCATACAAGCAATTCATAACTTGTTTTTTAAGTTGTAAGCCTCAGACACATAGCCATAAAAGTGAGTGTCAGAAGTCAACTTGAACCAGGCAATGCAACCACAAATTTTTGTGTCCCAAAATAAGATTCTGATTTTTAGTTGTCTATTGTGAATTATATAGCCTTGGAAAAACACTGAGGTGGCCTAACTGAACTGAAGGCATGATGCAGCCTGAGGGGGATCTGGAACATAGTCCAAATAACCTTCTGGAAGTAGGTCATTAAGGTAGGCCAGTTAGGAACCAGTACACAAACACCTGCTCAAATCTGGCTAGAAATTAAAGTTTCACTGAGACGTGGCAGGAGACAGTCATCTCATAAAAGATGACCCAAATGGAGAAGACTGAAGATCATCTTCAATGCAGGTATTCTAGCATAGGTTCTTACAGTCATTAATGCACTCTCCCTTGTACATGAAAAACACCCAACCTTTTTCAAAAGACTGTAGCCCACAGCTGAATGGATTTTCTTTTCCAGACGTGTCCAGTCATGTGCAATTTTTATTTAATGGCCAGCAACTAGACAACAATTCCCCCCAAATTTGGAGCCAATCCATTATTAACAATCCCAAATAACTGATGAAACATTATGCACTCTTTGGTCCAACAAAAAAAAAATAATTGGTCACACCATGCATAGCCATCACAAATTATTATTTACAGATGCTTATCGGGGAGGAGCATGACCCTTCCTTAAAAGTTAAATTGTGCCATTTCATCAGCAAACCCAAGAACTATAAATATCTTTTCCGAGTCGAGTGTGCTCTAAATACAACTTCTCACATCTCAGGGGAAAGAGAGACACTTTCACAAGATTATACGCATAACTGGATTAAAGCTGCAAGACAAAACTGAAACTGAAGACTGCTTAGTCATTACCAGAATTTAAAAAGGGCAGCTGCAATATCTTGTTTTTCCTGTAATTTCTGACCGTGTCAGAAACTTTAGCCTAAATGTTCATGTTTACAGTTTTGGAAGACTGGCATACCAGATACTTGGTGTATTATCCACTTATTAATATTCTCGTATCATCCAAACAGAAGGAGCAGCAATGGGCTACCAGCATCCTTCTGACTGGACAGGCAACCACAGCCTCATGGGCTGAGAAGCATCTTTCAAATGGTGCAGACCACAGGGAAGTCAAGCAACTAGATGTGCAACCCAAACACCACCCCCCCACCCCCCCACCCCCAAAAAACAACCAAAAAACCCCATAATCCCCAACATCAAATGATCAATATTTTAATTTTTCAGTTATGGACACAGTAATATAAACTGTTTTTTCATTTAAAGACCTAAATATAGAACTTGGAGATTGAGTTGCATTAATTATGAAAAAGCCTAAATTTTGTATTTCTGCTTGCAACAGCACCTTGGCTCCCTTACAAAAGTGTTACCATGACTCCTAAGTTTAAAAAAATTACCAGATCTAATCACTTTGGAAAAGGATAGCTTCATTTTTTGCTTTAAAAATAAATAATTTTCTAAGACACTATGCAAAAGTAAAAACCCCAGAAGTTCAAGCACTGTCAAATTTATAAAATAAGTGAAAGAGCTGGCTACCTTGCTTAGTTTTACACAGTTTTTAAATTCTAGCTATAAGAACAGATCAGAGAATCAAGATTTGGAAACTAAAGATTGCATTGGTGGCCTTATCCCTGGTTAGGCATAGCTTTAGACCCTCTAATGCAATGTGTTTACTTCTCAAGTATTTTCATTCTCCAAAAACAGTAAGTGAATTTCTGAAAATGCATTCTGCATATTAACAAGAAGTGTTTTCTACACACACATAAAGAATAAAAGCACCCTAAAACTTTCCTGATGTAAATTAAACTACCCAGAGGCATCTTTTACCCTGTCAAAACACAACGCAATCAGACATAAGCCTCTGCAAACCAGTGAGTCACAGTTCACATCAATCACACAGCAAAATCCACTCTGCCTCCTGCAACACTAGCAACGACATCTGGGAATCGGTCTGTGAGGGCAACAAATAATTAACCATTTGCTAAGAAAAGCATCAGATCCACCATCACCACGTCTTCAAATTAAATACAAAACATAGGAGAAGAAAAAACCCTGCACAGCAGAATAACTCTTAAGTTCTCTAGTTTTTGTAATTCAGGTCAGCGTGGGTGACCTAGCAGTCCCCTTCACACCTTCAGAACAAACACCAAGTCTGGAAATAGGTGTGAAGGAGGACTAAAAACATGCCACTTGTGACGTGTCCTACTGCTCCGGATTCCAGCGTTATCTGTATGCATTCTGGCATATTAGCTACGCAACATGAAGCAGTACTGAATGAACTGATGAGTGGTAGCAGTTTGTCAGACCACTTACTGATATGAAGAAGCGTACGTATACCTTGAGGGATTAAGCATGCCTCATTTCAGTGCTGATTTTTTAAAGCCGTGTCAGAGGTGCAGCAGAAGGTTACCTTCTTGCCACGGGGAATGGCAGCAGTCTGGCGGCATGTGTGGCAGTGGTTTCCAGGACTTCATGTGGGGCAGTGATTGCATTGTCTCAGAAGAAATCCTAAGGGGTAGGTAAAGGGGGTTGGTAACACCGCTGCTTCACAAGGAGGAGGCTAAGCAGCCACAGTGCTACTCCTGATCTAAGCCCAAGCTCTTCCTTAACAAAAAAACCCCATATTAAACATTGTCCTGCAGCACGCTTGTGCTCTGTAAGCAGAGACACATTCTGTTTACTCATAACACTGAGTATTAGCTCAACAGTATTATAATACTGACCCCCGTGCCCAAAAATCAACAAAAAATCACATCAAAAACCCAAGAGTTTGGGGATGGGAGCCAGAGCCCCTTCTCTCCTACGCTACTGCTCCCCAGCTGGTTTGATTTCATGGGAGAGGAAGCAGGGACCTGCTCCTGGATGGACTCTGCCACTAGTGGAAGCCACAGAATTTGGCAAGCCTAACCCCACCATTTCCCTCCCGCTTATCTGCTGAGATATACCCCCCACCCTCCAGCCTGTGTGCGGGGATTCGTATGCAGAGAGCTTTGCTGAGAAGGGAGGGGACTGCCACTAGCAGAGGGAGAAGGGGCATGGGGGAAGAAAAGAAACACTGCTCAAGCATGAGGCAGAGAGGAGAAAGCCTGGAGGTGAGCTATGAGAAATGGCACAGGTAGTAGAGGCTCCTGGGAGAGGAGTGGGAGGAGGCAGAGTCACAGCAGTGACAGGCAGGCTAGCATCAGCATCTAATCATGTTGGCATGGCTTAGCAATATACACATTTAAAAATGCAACAGTGAAATGGCATTAGCATATCACAGTCTGCAACATCTGGGCACAAGTTTAAGGCAGCAGTTAGAGCTTCTGTGGGGGGTAGGGCATACACTTGGAAACACAGAAATCTAGATAATCTTCTCCATTTCAGGACAGCCTTAACTCCAAGCTAAGCAAGCTTCAGGACATTGTACTGCTCTGGGTTACATAGAGTTTCCCACCACCCCTGTGACCTCAGCCCATCTCTAATCCCACTATTTGGTTCCTTGGCAAGTCACTCCAGCAAGGCCACTGCTCGTCCATCTGACTTTCCCATACAGCCATTTTTCCCCCTCCTTGGAGTACACACGGCCTGAGCAAGCCTGGCACGAGAAGCAGCGTGGTCAGCAGGGGATTGTCAAGCAGGCCTCCGACACCTCAAGCTGCTCCCTGCTTTGCAACGTGTTTCTCTACCTCCAATTGCTCAGCGCTCCCTCCCTACACAGGTCCTACCCACTGCTCTGAGTCCGCCCCTCAGCACCCAACTCCGTCCCCCCTCATCGCTCCACACTTCTGGGAACGGAAAGGGCTGAATTTAACGTAAGGACCAGCTAGCTGCTAGCTACATAGACTTGCTAGTGGAATGACACAGCTCACATATCTGTTTGCAGCATAGGCAGAGATGACCAGCTCTTTTCATTCGGGAGTCTCTTCGCAAAATAAAAATAGCTAAGATTACCACAAGAATTTGCAAAAAATAACCCAAACCTACACCTAGCTAACACGTTGGTGGATGTCTCCTGTCTTCCCAATGCATGCAAGAGGAGGACTGTGACTTTCAAAACAGCAGCATCTCCTCCCGCTCGCTCTGCAGCAGATGGAGGGCATAAATCAAAGTAAGGAAAAGGGGTTTTCTTGTTCCTATGGAAGAGGAAGGTCACACAGACCCCAAATTACAGGAGTGAGGAAATGGATCGTATTCCAAGGTACAAGAAATCCCAGGTTCAAGAACCCCAAAACCTAGCCACTTTACTGCCTTTTCATCACACAATACTTTGTTTGAAAATCTGTATTACATCATTGTGTTGCTTTTCATCTTGCTCCTAAATAATTTCCTCTAGAAATGCTAAGGAACTTTAGAACCACAAAAGTATTTTAGACTACTTTTACATATTGTTTTTAAAGAAGAAGTCTTAGTTTTAATGCAGGACTCCTGCAGGATTCCCTCCCAGAGGCAGCCAGGACAAGCAACTTCCACTCCTGAAAAAAGGCTGGAATAGGAATACTGCTGACATTCAGTAATCAGTCATTTCTTTGTCTGGAAGTCATTTTACTTAAGTTGCACTGGCTGTGTGCATTACAATCTTTGGCCCAGACCTAAGTGCCAAAGTAAGCTTTACAGCAGCTTCTCCAACATGACATCCCCAAAGGTGCCACAGCAGTCGAGAAATTCAGAGCAATCCAAATCAGTTTGGGGTCATCCGTGCAAAAAGATTTAGTCGCCTAAAACCATCATACTACTTCAGATTCCTTCTTATGAGCTTCCTGCTCAGATCGTCTTGAATTTGGACTGTTAGTGAATGCTCCCAAAGGGCAGCAATTTTCAAAATATCCATCCAGAGCAAGCAGGAAGCATCTGGAACTCTTCCAATGATCAATTTTAAGTCTCACAAAGCTGCAGTCTGCTATCAGCAATTTTTAAATTAATGACAAAAACCTCATAAATCCTTGTTACACCACTCAGTGAACGAAGCTTTACTAAGTGGGCTGAGAACACTGTTCTTTGTGCAGGAATTAGCAAACTCCTTAGGTTTCATTTCACTGGAAGGCATTATCACTGAGCTGTTGAGCATCAGCTGGCTAAAGGGTTTTATTAATGAAAAACATTAAATTGACAGCAAATCGGATTATAAAACTAATTTATTTAGATCAAGATGTCCGCGAGTGATTCCAAGTTACCCATGACGATATACCTCAGTTACTTGCACAACGGGAGACAGCAATTCCTGAGAATTATTTCCTACATTAAAGGAGGAGCACTAATAAAATCTCTAGCACTGCGCCAACTATGGCAATACTATACATTTTAGAGACCTTAAAAAAATAAATTTAAACGCAGAATGATAAGTACCAGAGAGCTAAGCACTCTGCTCATCTGTAGATTAAATCTCAGTATATCCTTTCACCGGGTACCTCCCAGCTCTCCACTACATGCACATAAAGCAGTAAGGGGTAGGAAATATTTTAACTCATTCCAATTTTGAAGCTGACTACGGCATCTTGAGGCAGCTGAATCTACTTGATAGAAGCACCGAAGGCGGGTGCAGCAGCTGCACTGGGGAGATATGGAGAAATCAGAGCCGCCAGGCGATTGGACAGTGGTGATGGGGAAGGAGAAGGCTAGTCTGGGCACAGAACAAAGACTGCCATTTCCATTCCCTTATTTAGGTTCATCAGAAGCATGAAACAAGCTCTAATACAGATTACCAGAGTGGAAAAATCAAAGAGATCACAAACCATGCCTCACAGGGACTCAAGCAGATGCTACATGGAAACCCCCAGTTTTGACCGTTCCCTTGGGTCCCCTCTCTCCCCAGGGATGAAAAGGGCCAATACGACCGCATGCCGTATTTTAAAAAAAAAAAAAGTTCTGGGCCTGCGTTTAATCCAGCCTAGGCCCTGGATTAAGCACGGGGCTAACCAGAGGTTAAATAAGAAAGAAACAGCTAATCTTCAAAACCCCGGGGTCACACCTCGCAGCGGGCAGGGGAACCAGAACGGGTGGGCGCAACGGTCGCCCGCCGCCACTTCACCGGGGCCGGCCGGGAGCTGCCCCAGCCCCCCCGGGGGGGGTCCCTGTCCTCTACTGCGGTGACCGGGAGGTACCTCCGAGCCTGCCCACCCCACCGACCACGGCGGGGGGGGGGGGGCCCTGCCTGGGGGGTTCCCGGCCTGCCCAGCCCCGGCTCCGCCCCCGGTACCTGCTGTGAGGAGCTGCATGGCGTGCGTGAAGGACGGGTCGAGGCTGTCCTTCTCGGCCATCAGCTCGGGCAGGTACTTGTTCTCGGGCTCCATCTTGACAGCGGCCCCGGGCAGCAGCGGGGTAGGGGCGGCGGCGGGGGCCTGAGAGGCCGAGGCGGCGGCCGTAGCGCTGGGCGGCAGGAGCGGCGGCGGCTGCGTCCCGGTAGCGGCCCCGCGGCCGCCCCCCCCCCCGCCGCCCCGGGGCGGCCGCCGCGGTGGGGGAGCTCCTTGCCGAGGGGCCCCGCCGGGGCCCGGCCCCCGGCCCAGGCGGGCGGCGGGGTCGTCGCGGCGCTGCATGGGGAGGCCGGGGGGGGCGGGCGAGCGCGGAGCGGAGCGGGCCGAGCGGCGCTGCCACACCGTCCGCCGCGGCGCCAGGGCCGGAAGTGAAGGGGACCGGAAGGACCGCCCCCTCCCCCTCCGGCTGTGTGTCTGGCCGGCCGCCCCCTCCCGCGTCCGTCCGTCCGTCCGTCCGCCCGGCTCCCGCGTGCCCGCCCCGCCGCGCCGCTGCGCTTGCGCCGTCACGCCGTCGCGCGCCAACACACCCCCTCCCCAATAACTCTCCACGCATGCGCAATGCCGCACACCCCCCCCCCCCCCGCCCGAGAGGTGGGGAGGGGTGTGTGTGGGGGGGGGGGTGTGTGTAAAAGGGACACGTGGGTGCGAAGCGCCGCCACCGTCTCAGCGCCGACTGCGCAGGCGCAGATCCACAAGCGTGACATTAGTCCCAAGGCTGCTGAAATAGCGCGCAGCGGGCTCACGGCGCATGCGGCAGAGCCCCGCCCCGCCCGTCGCGCATGCGCTCTGAGCGTCCCCTCGGAGGCGCGAAGCGCGCTGTGGGACGGGGCTGTGGGGAGCTGCCACCGCCGCCCGGGCCCCGCGGGCACGGTAAGCCGGCACAGCCTGGCTCAAGGGCCGAGCCCCTGGTTTGCCCGTCCTGCTGTACAGGGCCTTGGCAGTGTCTGTGTGGCAGCCGGGCCTCTTTCCCCGCCTGCCTTCATGGCCCAGCCCTGTGGTACGGGGCCTTGGCAGGGTCGGCTGGGGAGGGAAGCCCTTAGCGTGCTTGTTATGTTGTCTCCGTGCTGCGGTATGGGGCTTTGGAGAGAACAGTTAACTCCTGCATAGGTGGTGACATTATGCAGTGTTGAAAAGGGAAGAAAAAGAGTCTTTTAGGCAACAATCACCAGAGGTTAAGGAACTCCAGTTAAAGGCGCTGGGGTGGAGCTAGTGGGGGATGGCTTGACTGTACAGTCTTGAAACTTAGCGAAGTGGCATTGATGTTTTTCAGTCAGGATGATGGCAAGTGTGAAAATCCTTGTGTGCTGGGGTTTCTGGTACTGTGGTTTGTGGAGGCAGCAGTTGTTTAACTAGCATACAGGATGTGTGTCAGGCACTGCAGCTCCTTAATTCAGTATAAAGCATGACCTTTTGATAATTGACAGTCATCACATGAGAACGTGGGAAAACAACAGCTTTTATAATTTGTGAAGTTACACATATACTTTAGCCTGTTAAGGAAGCATGTGATTCTTATTTGATCTCTCAATATCTTGTGACAGACTGTTGTCTGCAGCAGCCCCTTCTGCACAGAGCTGGAGTTGACGTTCGTGGACAGACATAGCCTCCAACACCATCAGGTAACACAGCCTGAACCTCGTCCTGTCCCCCTTGCCTCCAGGGTGCCATTTCCAACCAGCCCCCCTGAAACTGTGCAAGGCTGTCTCTTGGTGATCCATGGCTGTGCAGTTCTGCTGTGCAAAACATCTCGCCTGTATAAAGGAGCTCCTGCTGTTGATAGCTTCGGGGCTGCGCACGTCCCTGATACGTGTGCCTGGTCTGCTCCTCCTCCATCAGTTCTCTCATTCACATACTGTCTCTTTTTCCTTCACCCCCGTTGTGTAGCTGCAGTGTCACTCTTGCGTATTTTCCATTGAGATTCTCTATCCCTGCCTGCCATCCCTGTCTTGTCCTTACTCACAGCTGCGTCACTTGTAAATGCCATGGCACCTTCCCAGAGCCAGGATGAACTAACTGCTCCTGGTAACAGGCTGTCATTGCCCCGGGGTTTCCACCTGCTGCCTCAGCCATATTCCCTGAGCACGCTTACCTCCCATCTTCCCACAACTTCTGCTGTGCTTGTGGAGCTGTGGGTGGCAGCTGTCATTAACTGTTTGATTTGGACGCATTCCTCAAAGAACTTCAGCAAAAAAAAAAAAACCCAGGGATGTGTGTGGCTCCTTTAGAGCATGTTTCAATTTTTAGAGGAAGGTTGCCTGATGGGCCCTGGACTGGAAATTAGGAAACCTGGAACTAGTTTCCAACACTTCCCAGGCTTCCTGAGTGAACCTGGATGCTTTGCTTAACCTTCCACTTCACTGTCTGTAAATGAAGTCGCTTCTACCTTCTTTCTTCACATTGTCTGGTCTGCTCAGGGTGTGAAGGGGCTGAGACGTTCTCTTGTTATTACTTTATGTGACCTACAGAGAGAGCAGCGCTGCCCTGAGCTCAGCCAGTCTCCAGCTGCTTCAGAAATAGAGTCACCAGGTGTTAAAATGGATGCAGTTCCCTTCCAGAGGGTGTCTGGTTGAGGGCAGAGGAGCGATGTGCTTTCCTCGAGCTGAAAATAAGAGATGGGTGTGTTTTGGGCCATCCCTGCTCTGTCCTCCCAGCGTTTGTTCCTCCATGAACAGCTTCTAGGGAGCAGCTGACGGTGTGGACGCGATCGCTTCTTGACGGGGCCGTTCATCAGCTCTTGAAGAAAACGTCTTCTTGTTTTGCTGCAGAAGAGGAAGAGGCCCGGCAGCCCGGAGCGCTCCATATTGTGCGTTATGCAAATGGCTGCGTGTCAGAGGCACCGCTGCCCGCGAGGGCGAGGGGCCCTGCCGAGGGCTGCCCGTGGGAGCCCCGAACAGAGAAACTGTTGTTCCAGCTCTCACCGGTGCTGCTTCCACCACGGCCAGCTGCCTGCTTGCTGGGCTGTACTGGCAGCAGCAGCGATGCCCCCGGGAACGGTCTGTCTGTCCCACAGCTCTGTCCTTTGCCCCCGTATTTTTCTCTCAGCTGGCAGAAAAATCCGTCCCTCCCCACGAAGCTCTTTGTTATTCCAGGGGATTAATAAACGCTAACTTCAGAGACACTGACCCTGCTATTCTTAGGGATCTTTGGGAGCCTCAGTGATTTTTCATCCCATACCTAAATATTCCCTTCTCCCAGGAGCTGGAGCAGCCCTGCGTGACCCAATGCTCTCTAGCAGGCCTCCCAGCTGCTCCCCATCAGCAGGGACAGCTTTTGGGGCAAAACCCAATCAATTTGTGCTCAGGAAAACCTCGCAGAGCCTGGCTCGGGGTTTCTCTGGGCCGGCTCCACGTGGCATTTTGCCGCCCCGCATCCTTCAGCCTCTGGGCAGGATGCTGAGGGGAACGGAGCCCCTTTTCCAGGCAGGATTAGGAAGCTGTCCCTCCACCGACGCAGGGAGCGGGTGCTGGAGCCGTTCTACAACCCCTGTCACACCCTTGCCGGTAAAACCGGTGTCGGGAGGGGAGGTCACCCGGCACGACACAGTCGGGTCACCTCGGATCGCTTAACGCCACGCGGCCGGGACAGGCTCCGGCCAACCGCGGGGCTTCCTGCGGGCCAGGATCCGGCTCCCCCCAGACTCAGAGTCACCGTACCCGGGTGCTCCGCCCCGGAGCCGGGAACCGGATCAACGGGTCATTAATTTATTTCGGTTGCACCGTGCCGTCTGCTGGCTTTCCCGGGAGATCCGCTGCCTCTGCGGTCTCTCCGTGCTTCCAGGGGTACCAGGGGCTGTGAATACCGGTGCTTTCCCCCCCCGGGACGCTGAGCCCCGCTCCCGAGCACCGGGCCGGTGTCTCTGCCGGGGACCGGCGGGGCCTGGGGAAGCGGAAACCGTGGGAACCGCCGGGCGGGCCGAACCACTGCGCAGAAAGTGGGGGGGAGTGGGAAGCGGGCTGTACCACTGCTGCTGTGCGCTGGGAGGAGTGGGGGGGGCGGTGCTGGTGTGGAATGGCCCGCGTGCACGTGCGGCCGGAGGGCCAGTCCAAGTGCGCCGGCGCAGTGGGGGGGGGGGGGGGTCGGGGCATTCTGGGGCCAGCAGGGGTGGTGCGTTTCGCTTCGGGCAGGGCGAGCCGCTGTCCGGCCGCGCTGGGAAGGGCCATACCAATGCCCAAGGCGGGGGTGGGAAGCGGGCTGTACCAATGCCTCGCCCCTCGTGAAGTGTGTGGGGGAAGGGCCTGTTCCAACCGCAGTGGGAGGGAGGGGAGTCGTTCCACGCGGCACGGGGCCGGTTGGTCGCTCAGCGAGCTGCGGCCTTGGGGAGCGAGGCCCTTCCCAAAGCCGCGTCGGCATGCTCGGCGCACCCCCGCAGTGCTGTGGGTGGACGCGCCCGGCGCGCTGAACCGGGGCGGGGTGTCCAAGCCGACTGTACCAATGCCGGCTGGCGGGGGGGGGGGAGGGGGGGGGCGGGGAGGGGGTTGCGAGGCGAGCCGTGCCAATCAGCGGCGGGCGGGTCGTACCACGGGGCGCGGGCGGGGAGGGAGGGAGCGGCCTGTGCGCGAGGAGCCGTCTGGCGGCGCGCGGGCTCTCGCGTCTCTCCGCGCGGCCGGGCCGCACCGGGACCAGCGCAGCCCCAGGCCCCGCCACGGGCCCCGCCGCCACCGGGCCGGGCCCCGCCGCGCCCCCTCCCGCCCCCTTCTTCGCTCTTTCCCGGCCCCCGGCCCGCTCTGTGGGAGGCGCCGGGCCCGCTCGGAACGAACGCCGACGCGCTCAATGCCCAGGGTGAGGGGGCCGCCGTGGGGAGGAGCTGGGGGGCTTCGGGTGAGGAGGGACCGCGGCAAGACGGAGCCTCCGCCCCGGGGCGGGCCTGGCCTGCGGAGCGGGGGGGCTGGGAGCTCCCCTTCGCCGCTTGGGACGTTTTGAAGGGATCCCCCCGGCCTGTGGGGCTGGTCTGGGGGGACCTCCCTGGCCTGGAGGGTCTCCTTCGGCCCCTGCGGCTGATTTGGAGGGGTCTTTTGTGCCCTGGGGGGCCCGCATGGGCTGCGGGACTGGTTGGGGGGGGGGGGGGCATGCTGGCTTAAGGGGCTCTCTTTGGTCTGAGGGGCTGGTTCGGGGGGTCCTTCCTGGCCTGGGGGGGATTTCCTGACCTGTGGGCCTTGTTTGGGGAATCTTGCTGGGCCTTGGGAGCTCCCTTGGCCTGAGGAGCAGGCTCGCTAGTCTGTGAGGTCCCTACTCTACTTTGGGGCTGCTTTTGGGGGGTTCCCCCTGCCTGTGGGGTTGGGCCGGTATGAGGGACCCCCATGGCCGGTAAGGCTGGTTTTAGGATAGCAGGCGTTGCCTGCAGTGTTGGGCTGCTTTGGGGGGGGGGGGGGGGGGGGATGTCCTGTACCTGCGAGGCTGGTTTGGAGGGTCCTCCCCTCACCTGCGGGATGGAGTTGGCTTACAGGGCCCACCCCCCAGATCCATGTGACTGGTTTGTGTGGGTCCCCCACCCTCAGCTGCGGGGGTGGGATGAGTGGATCCCGAAGGGACTCGGCCTTGTACCTGGGCTTGGGGGAGGTGTTCGAGAGGGGAAGTAATTCCCTGCAGGATTGCCACAGTGGGAGGATGAGGAGGCTGCAGAGGGATTGGTGTGGGTGAATGGAGGGTGGGTCTTGCTTGTTCCAAGTACAGGGGTGGTATTTGGAGGGGTTTGTTAGAGGGAAGGGAGTGTTACTTATTTCTGTGTGTATGTACGGGTGGAGGAAGAGTTTGAGACAGGATGGGAGGGTTGTTGCGGGGGAGGAGGGGGCTTGCCTTGTGTCAGGCCTGGAGATGGTCTGTAAAGGGTAAAGAATTGTTCAGGGATCTGGGCTGGAAAATGGAGGGGGAAGGCTGGAAGCAGTGTTGGAGGGGGGTAAATCTTTTTAGGCTGGAGGGGGGCATGCGGAGCTGGAAAGGAAGGGTGTCCAGGATGTGGTGGTTTTCCTGGGGTTTGAGTGGGGGCAGGGTTGTGAATGCTGAGGCTGGTTTGTGTAGATAGAGGGCTGCCCTGTGGGATTTGGAGCTGCCTGGGCCTGGAAGGGGGGAGTTGATGAAGCCCGGCCTGGTCAGGGCAGTGGCTAAAGAAAGTACTGGTGTTGGTGAGGGTGCTAGGAGTGACCTCCAGGAAGGCCTGAGACAGGGAGTGGTGTGCTTACTGGGAATGGCTGTGGTTTGCTGCTTAGGGTGTGCTTTGGTGGGTGAGGAACCCTAGTCCCTGCGAGCTGGAGGTTTGGGATTTGGAGCACAGGCGAGGCTGCAGGCTAGGAGGTGTTACGGTACGGGGATGAGTGTAGAAGTGGCCTCCACTCAGTTGCAGTGATGGATCCTCGTGGTTCCTTGGTATGATTAGTCACGATCTGCTTTTTTCTCTCGGGGCAGCTGTGTGCTTGTTGGTTTCAACATGAGGAGGCAGAAAGTTGGCTTTTAAAGCCTACTGTATAAATGGAAACTTGCTTCAAAACTCCCCAAATGAACCAGTCAGGTTCTGACTCAGAACTGCAGTTAGTATTTAAAGAAGAAAAAAAAGATAAACCCACCACTAGCAGCAGCCAGAAAACTCTATCCCTTATGACTCAACGTGTAGAAATACTTTGATTTAATGAACTCAACTGTTGGAAAGAAAAGATTGGTCAGAGTTAAGGTAGGAGTATGTATCTGCGTACATATGGATGCACAGGCAGGAACGTGGGTCTTCTTACATAGGGTCTAGTTGTGATGTTTTTACATGCATCTCTCGAACACAAGTGATTGACTTCAGGTTTAATTACCTTCAGATATCCATCATTCCCTTTCCACACAGCAGTACTCAAACACTGTTCCTCTATCAGAGCTGAACTGTGATCGCAGCTGGTTTCCTTGCTCCTGCTGGACTTTGCCCCGTGGTGGAATGCCGCGCTGGTTAACTGTTGGGAGGCCTGGGAGGGAGAGCGCTGATGTGCGGCCCTGGGGAGAGCCGGGTGATACGTGGCACGTGGAAAGGCACATTTCTGTCCTTACTTTAAGGAAGGTGATCCACAGCTGAAGATGCAGCTGTTGAGAGACTGTAGTGCAAGCAGATGATTTTTGTAAATGGTGTAGGTTGTGCATTTTGATAATATCTTTGGAGGAGAAAACATGTTGTCAGTGATGTACTGTTACTGAACTAGCAGAGAGGGGCTCAGTGTTGTCTGTTGTATTTGGATTAGTTTGACAGCTGCTTTGCCTGTTAGAGTTGGCGATTTAAAACACTTCTGTCTAAACATTGAAAAATAGACCTAATGGCTCAAGAATCTGAGCTAGAAGTTACTCTTTTTGACACATGTGAATTGCCGTGCTAGATCAGGCTGGCACCTATTTAGGCCAGTATCTGGCTGATGTATATCATAAAAGAGTATAAAATACCTTTATAGTGGCTGTTGACTTCAGTATCATCTTGAGGCTAGTTTTGCTAATTGTGAAGGGGTAGAGGAGCCTTAAATCTCTTGATCCTTTTTTCAGTTATAACACTTGAGACACTGGGTTGCTGTCTCTATTCAGGTCACTGTTACGTGTACCTTTGTTACCCCTTGTTCTATACTAAAAAGTTAAATTCTTTTTGGTCTGTTACACTGAAAGTCTAGCTCTGCTTGAAATAATGGACTGTGGATTTTAACAATTGAGACTTTGTGGACGTGCAGTGAAATTTATCAGTAAGCTTCAGTCTCAGTTGTCAGCCTGAATTTAACTGCCGCAGGAGCATGGAAAAGGAGCCAACTCTCCACTAAGTCATTTTTCCGGCAGAGGTATATGGCAAATTCAAATAAGTGAGATGAGTAAGATGCAAGTAATTCAAGTCTCTAACTTCATAGAATAATATTCCTGCTGCTGTGTGATTTGAAATTACTTCTAAGTCCTACTTGACTTGTTAATGGGTTTTTGGTGCGGTGGTTTGTTGGTTTTTTTTTTGATACTTCATCTTAAAGTGTGAGAATGTTTAGTCAGAATTGTTGGGGGAGCTGGTGATCTATCAGGACTGTGTTTTCAAAGACCAACTGTTGATACAACTTAGAAAACTTGGCATTCTGATTTTTAGGAATAAGTTGTTAGTCACATACTCATGAACTGTTATCTAAAGTAA